GACATCCCCCCCCCCAAAAAAATAATGGACAGATGCATTTGAAGAAGTCCGGATGAGGTAGAGCAATCTACATTAATTTTACATTAAGGTCTCATCATTCATAGCTGTTATTATCCCTTGCATAATGGCACTATTGGACAAATGCTACAAATTACATCCTTCAAGTCAATACAGTGTAATTAGGTAACTCCCATCATGATGTCATTATGCAAAGGACATACGTTGGTACAAATTGTGCAGTTTGTGATTTAATGGTCATGCAGAAGAAATGGGCATCTCCTCTCCCATCAAGTAATGTTTTCCATCCAGGTTTCACTACATGTTTATTATGGCACAAGTGTGCATGGCCCATAGCTAACTTTATTCAGTACCTGGAATGTTTCAGTGGCATTGGGATAAATTAATTTCAGTAAATAGAGGCAATTGAATCTCTTATGAACTGTAGCTATTCACAAAACAAATTTGAGGTAATAACCCCGACAACCTTATGGATTTCCTGGAATAGAGGTAACCCAGATTCACTGTATTTGCCTTGCTGACAGATTCTTTAAGGAGCCACTACCAAAGGATCAAACAGATTTTCTGCAAACATTTCACATTTTTACAAGGTTTTCACAGTGCAATAATTCAGAAGGGAAGTTGGCTTACACAGTATTTGAAGAAAATAGATTAGTATTTGGAGGTTTCCTGAGACGTGTCAATCAGTTGGATTTAGGGAATTGCATTGTCTCCATTTTTTCATCCTCCTCACCTATTGGTTCTGGGTACCAGATAGAATACAAGAAACTTTGTGTTTATGAGGTAACAAATACATGTTGAATGGATTCTGGTCTCATGTTAAGCTGTGGTTTATGTTACTAAGATTTTTTAAATTAATTTATTAATTTATATAATTTTATTTATAGTTTTTTCCCTAAGATTTTATTTATGTAGGCATAGTATATAGATCCTATCTTTTCTGTGAAAGCTCAATGCAACTTATATGAGGACCTCCCCCATTCTTTGCCCGTCAACAACCCTGTGCGATGGATGGATTTAGGAAAGTAACTGGGCCACAGTAAACCCACTAAGGCTGATCAAAAACTTAAAACTAGGTGTTAACTCGCAAAGCATCCCTGGCCTGCTCTCAAGTTGCCATAGGCAAGGGGGATGGGAAAGCGAACTTGCGAGGCAGCACGTCAGTCAAAAACAAAAGCACATTCCAGCCATATCTCTTGTCAAGGTCGTCTCCCAGGGTTACCCACAGTGGCCGAAGGGGAGTGATCTCTACAACCCACAAAATTGCTTCGTTGGAGAATGTGACTGATGACACACCTTGGGGGGAGGGGGAAATGGGATCAGAACTGGGCTGTAAATTATGTGGGGTCAGAGTTGGCTTTACTTGGAACGTGCTGTCATGAAGCTCCTAATAAATAACTGGATTTCTTTTGAAGCTTGGCTCGAGCCTCATGATTTAATCAGGGCATCGGTGGGAACCCTGACACTAGGATTACCCCATCTAAGCCCACAGCTGTTTACAAAACACACTAAGGACATCATTTGCAATCTCCTGGCACCCTAAGGTTATATTTGACCACAAAAAAACTGGTTTTTGCAGGTTCCCCCACTCCTCTAAAATAAGGGTACAAAGAGGAGCAAGGACACTCTTATGAGACAAGGTACCACTATTTCTGTCCTTAAAATCCTGTGTAAACCTTCAAAAACAGCCCAAAATTGAGCTGCTGAAATGTGGCCATTTTACTGCTGAATTTCAGTGATGGAACGTTATTTGGCCACCCGGGAGGTAACACGAGGCTGGCTCCAGAGGATCATAAATGCTTCTCTGAGAGAGGGTTTCTTGCCTCCCGCCTTGAAAGAGGCGGTGGTGAGGCCCCTCCTCAAGAAGCCTTCTCTGGACCCGGCCGTTTTGGCAAACTATCGTCCGGTCTCCAACCTTCGCTTTGTTGCGAAGGTTGTGGAGAGTGTGGTTGCGCGCCAGCTCCCACAGTTCCTGGATGAAACCGTCTATCTAGATCCGTGCCAGTCCGGCTTCAGGCCTGGGTACAGCACGGAGACGGCATTGGTCGCATTGGTGGATGATCTCTGGAGGGCTCGGGACAGGGGTTGTTCCTCTGTTCTGGTCCTGTTAGACCTCTCAGCGGCTTTTGATACCATCGACCATGGTATCATGCTGCGCCGGCTGGAGGGACTGGGGGTGGGAGGCACCGTGTTGCGGTGGTTCTCCTCCTATCTCTCTGACCGGTCGCAGTCTGTGTTGGCAGGGGGGCAGAGGTCGACTTCGAGGCACCTTGCTTGCGGGGTGCCGCAAGGGTCGGTCCTCTCGCCGCTCCTGTTCAACATTTATGTGAAGCCGCTGGGTGAGATCATCCGTGGTTTTGGGGTGCGATGCCATCTGTACGCTGATGACACTCAGCTGTACATTTCCACCCCAGACCACCCCAATGATGCCCTCGAAGTGATGTCCCAGTGTCTGGAGGCCGTGCGGGTCTGGATGGGGAGGAACAGGCTTCGGCTCAACCCTTCCAAGACCGAGTGGCTGTGGATGCCGGCGTCCCGGTATAGCCAGCTGGTGCCATCGCTGGCTATTGGGGGCGAGTCACTGACCCCCACAGAGGGGTCTCGCAACTTGGGCGTCCTCCTGGACACACGGCTGTCTTTAGAAGAGCATATGACGGCCGTGGCCAGGGGGGCTTTTTATCAGGTTCGCCTGATACGCCAGTTGCGCCCCTTTCTGGATCGGGACTCCTTGTGCACAGTCACTCATGCCTTGGTTACGTCACGCCTGGACTACTGTAACGCTCTCTACATGGGGCTCCCCCTGAGGAGCACCCGGAGGCTCCAGCTGGTGCAGAATGCGGCTGCGTGGGTGATTATGGGAGCGACGTGGCGCTCCCACGTAACACCTCTCCTGCGCGAGCTGCATTGGCTCCCGGTGGTCTTCCGGGTGCGCTTTAAGGTGTTGGTTCTCATCTTTAAAGCGCTCCATGGCTTAGGGCCAGGGTATTTGCGAGACCGCCTGCTGCTACCGATAACCTCCCACCGGCCAATACGCTCTCACAGAGAGGGCCTCCTCGGGGTGCCGTCGGTCAGGCAATGTCGGCTGGCGGCCCCCAGGGGGCGAGCCTTCTCTGTGGGGGCACCCGCCCTGTGGAATGAGCTGCCTCCTGGAATACGATTGATCCCGGACCTCCGGACCTTCCGTAAAGCCCTGAAGACGTTTTTATTTCATCAAGCCGGCCTAGCCTAAATGGTTTTTAATTGGGATTTTAAATTTTATGGATTTGGGGTTTTAAATTTGGGTAGCCAATGATTTAATTCTTTTAATTATCTTAACTTTTGCATTTGTATGTTTTTTAATTTTGGCTGTTCACCGCCCTGAGTCCCTTCTGGGAGAAGGGCGGTATACAAATTAAATAAATAAATAAATAAATAAATAAATAAATTTTCTTCCCCTTAATTTCTATTTTCTCTCCCCCTGTGCAATTATGTGTTGGCATTCACTATAGTATTATTTAAACTTTTGGGGTCTTCTGAGTATTTATTTGCTCTTGTGTGCTGCTGAGCGTCATTCAGATTGAGGCAGTTGGTAAATGCTGTAAAATAAATAAAGAGTCCAGATTTGAGGATGTGTCGATGGGGTATATAAATCAGAATAAGTATATGTTTTGTGAAATAAGTGACAGCTCACAAAAGCTGATTCTATAGAAAATGTGTTGGTCTTTTTCATGTCACAGATCTTCTTGTTGGCTTTGTGGGAAGCAAATACTGTTGCTGTTGCAGCATCCTACTGAATACTTAATCACAGATGCGTTTAATTTTGCAGAGACCTCGTTACAGAATGCTAGAGGGCACTGTTTGCAAAATATTGTCACTGGTACCCATTAGCTCTCTTTTTCACACAGCGCTTTCGCAATCTGCCATTTCTATTTAAACCAGTTCCTCTAATCTGGTTATTTCATTGGTGCAAAGTCACAATATAGCAGTCAACCCTGAAATGGGCTTCTGCTATTCTGCTCGTTTACTCTCTGGAAGTACTTTGATAAATTTCTACAAGAACTTATTTGTGGGAGCAGCACTTGTGCTCATTAAACTAGTAACTGTGAAGTATCTCCTTTAGATGCAGTAGGGACAAATATTCTCACAAGTATAGTAAATCTGTTGTGTCACTCCAATGTCCTTTGTATTATAAATATCTATATGTATTTAGATCTGTATGAGCTATAATTTTGATGAAAGGGGAGACTAGGGACATCATTTAAGAAGGTAACTGCTTAGAGTAACAATAAACCAATACCAGATACTGCAGCTCAAATTGCATACATACAGACACAGACTGAGAACAAAATACTTTTAAAGTCTTAATCAGGGGTGTCAAACTCACGTCATCACAGCAGCATCATGTGACATATTGCAACTTTTTCTCTCTTCCTAAACCAGGTGTGGACGTGGCCAGTCACTTGATGCATCCAGCCCATGGGCCACCAGTTTAACAGTCCTGGTCTTAATGATACAAGAAATGCTTGATCCATTTGCATGCTACTTGATTACTAATGCTGCCGATCTAGTTTTTGTTATTGTTTTTCTCCATGAATATAAATATATAAATATTATATAAAAGGTAAAGGTTTCCCTGTCCAGTCATGTCTGAATCTAGGGCATGGTGCTCATCTCCTTTTCTTAATCAAGGGAGCCAGTGTTGTCCGAAGACATTTTCCATGATCATGTGGCCAGCATGGCTATATGCTAAAGGGTCATGGAATGCTTTTCCCTTCCCACTGAAGTGATACTTATTTATCTACTCACATTTGTATGCTTTCAAACTGCTAGGTGGGCAGGAGCTGAGACAGGAATGGGAGCTCACCCCATTGCGCAGCACTCAGGTCTCAAACCTGGACTGTCAGTTTTCCAGCTGACAAGCTCAGCGTCTTTAATCGCTGAGACTTTGCAACTCCTAAGTATTATATATAAATGTAAAAATGCAATCTGTCTCCCCTTTTCAGGATTCTGGGCTGAGATTCCACTATGTAGCTGCTGGAGAGAGGGGTAAACCTCTTATGCTGCTTCTTCATGGCTTTCCAGAATTCTGGTAAATTCCCTGTTTGCTTGCTTTCTTATTCTAATTGATATGACTTGTGTTTCTACTTTTGTGTACTGGATCAATAATCCTGTTTTCAACTGAGGATCCTGCTCCATTGAGTGACTGGAAAACACCACCAATCCACCTGACTGCTGTTTATCTAACCAATTTAATGGCATGGAATGCTTTTAGTCACACCATTCATATAAATAGAACTGTTATGTTGCTTCAGCACACCTTTGTGCCGACAATATTAAAATAATTTAGGAAGTTAAGGAGGACGTACAATAATTATAGGGAAATCGCAGCATAAAATGCTCCTGCTGAAAATACGGTATTTGTGTAGTTATTAGATTTTGTTTAGACGTTCCCATTACTGAAATTACAAGATGAAATAATTACCTTTTAAGAGGACATAACCCTGGAAGAAATTCTTCATTTTTAGATGAAGTAATCTAAAATTAAATTAGTTTTCCAACAGCAACCTGTGTATGTAACAGGATTTAAAACCTAATGTTCCAAGGCTAAATTTAGGGCAAACTAAATAACCAGTAAATGTGCAGAAGATGTGAGGATAAAAAAATTAACTGTTTACTATTGCTTATAACTATCCTATAATGTACATAACAAGAGCAATAGACTTAATCCTGTGCTCAGTTCATACATAATACGTAGGGGTTGTAGGGTTGTGAAAATCCTTCAAAAGCGGGTGCTTCAGAATATGTGGGAGCCTGCATGAAGCAACTCACTCTGAATCTTTAAAGCCGTAGTGTCTTTTTCCAAGCTGACGTGCTCCTTTGAACGGTGCTTCTTACTGTCTCTAGACGTGTGTATTCTCAGCCACTTGACTTCACTGTGAAAAAAATCTGCAGCTACCGCAGGAAAACTCAAAAGCAATTTCCAAGGCAGCTACACAAAACTAAAAAGTTGTTCCTGTGTGTTCTGAAACCCCTTTTGGAGAACATGCGCAGTTCTCATAGGAAAAAAAATTATTAGAGCAGTACTAATGGAGTTCTTGCATTAGGATCATCTAGCAGGGCCCTGAGTTAGAAGTGTGTTATTCAGTCCCAAGGAAGCAAGGGGGGGGGGGGGGGAATTCCACTAGGATGCCTTCATTATGGAATATTCTTCCTGAAGAAATTCTCTTGGCACCTATATTCCAATATTGCTTTACTGCTTTATACTTATATTTGCATTAGGATATGAATTTTTGATGAGAGGAAAGCCAGCATGGGACTATTTTAGATACATAAACAAATCAAAGAATAAAGGCAGGCTGAGAGAAAGCTCTTGGCTCAGTTTCTCTGTATCTTGCTGTAAAGAGTGTTACTCAGACCTCATGACTGTGCCTGTAGGAGAAAACCTCATTTTCTGGTGCTGTTCATATTTCATCCAGGCTGAGACTTAAGTAGCTTACTATATGGCATTTGTATTCCCAGCAGTGGTCATGTCACTGGGAAAACATATGACTTCAGTATAAATGTGTATCCTGTATATCAAGATTCTGTACTAAAACTATATTGATGATAATAATATGCTGATGTAGAAGATGCCAATATTGAGCAAGAGTTGATTTCCAGAAATAGCACCCTTGGGTATTCATGAAACAATTTCTCCTTGAGAAAGCAAAAGCATTTCTAAAAGATACTTCTAGAATATTGTTCTATTCACCATGGTAACCAAGAAAACAACACTTTGAACACACACTGTATATTATCTGTGTTCCCTCAAGTCTCCAACATTTGCTAGAATATGAGCCTATCACACACAAAGAACAGTATCAGATTCCAGTGACATCTTCAGAGAGGATCTACTGTTGTTGGGAACGTTCCAGAAATCTCCAAATTCAGCAATCTAGTCACATTTTCCACTTGTGGGCTTGGAATTTCTTCAGCTGTTGCATGATGGAGTATAAAAAATGTCTGATGGCTCACACCCCACACCTTGCCCAGTTAAGAAATTGTGATAGGAGATCCTGAATTTATCAATGGGATAGATAAGAAATATTTATCTTGTTACGAAGAGATTTGCACAAAATATTACATATATTAAATATCTACAGAGAAACACATACTACTCAGTACTATCTCTAGGTTACAATATTATATATATAAAAGTGAACAGGTTGTGAGAGATACCCAAGTATTTCTTATAACATTGATATATAAAGTCCAACCTTTTTTATTTGTGCTATTCCTATAGCCTTGTTCAATTGAGATCATACTGCTAAACGTGGACAGCATAACTATTTCATTAACAGTTAAATAAATATTGCAAATAAATAATTAAGCAATACATCTATCTTTTGTTTATGCAGTTCATTTCTCAGTAGATTTCCTATTTTGTAATACAGTTTTTCCTGAGTATACAAGTGGTAAAAACGCTTCAACACTTTTGATCTTCATAGAATCAGAAGGGCACACTACACTGTGGCATTTAGATTCAGTCCAGCAATCAAATCAGTCTCCCAACTGAACCCACACAGTAAAAAGTCCTTTTCCGGGTGATTGGTTTCACTTTGACCGCTAGGACATTTTCCCATAACATTCAATCAGAAATTTCTTTCATTGGAAAAAGGACGGATGAAATCGACTGAATAACGTTAAATATTTATTATTGTAATCTTAGAAAGTGTGCACTGAAGTTAATTCATTTCACATTTGATATTTCCATTAATTGCAGTATGTGAACATGTTACTCTTTTGTTTTCCTTCTGAAAAAAATAATTTTCTTCCCAACAAAATGCTTGAGACCTAATATTTCTGGCCTAGATATTTGCTTTTTGTGCATTGTTGTTGTTGGTGGTTTTTTTTAAAGGAAGAAAGATAAAGAAAACAGCTGTCTTTGCATCTTACTACTGTCCGTTTCAAGATCCCCAGGGCTAATGAAAGCCATTAATACCTCAGCACTTAGCCATCTTTATGGCTATATTTATTTTCAGAGAGTTCATGAGAGTAGTTTGGGGACAGGGAACTATTAGTCCAGAAAGAATCTCCTTCAAAAGGAATTACAGTCCTAGATGAATAGATCTCCCTTAATTAAATCTAATTAGATAGGGTTCAATGAAAGTGAAAGTAACCTAGAATTAAAGAGAAATTTCCTGACAGTTAGAACAATTAATCAGTGGAACAATTTGCCTTCAAAAGTTGTGAATGCTCCAACACTGGAAGTTTTTAAGAAGAAATTGGACAACCATTTGTCTGAAATGGTATAGGGCAGTGATGGCTAACCTTTTTGCTAACACGTGCCAGGAGAGGGGGGGCGGGGGAGGGCCGCGCGCACACGTGCCCACGCGCATGCGCGCGCAACCCCCCCCCCCACTCCTGGCACACGATGGCCTGTTAGGCCTGTTTTTCTTTCTTACTTGGTTCCAGATCCTCTCTATTTATCTGGGAAGGGCGAAACAGCCTTTCTCACTCTCTCGGAGGCCCTCCAAAGGCCTGAAATGGCCCATTTCCCAACTCCCAGTGGGACAGGAAGTGACATTTTTTGCTGTCCCCAGCCTCCAGAGCCTCTCTAGCAGTCTCTAGGAGCCTCTCTAAAGTCTCTAGGAGCCTCTCTAGGAGTCTCTGGGGGCTGGGGAAACAGCAAAAAATGTCATTTCCTGTCCCACCGGGAGTTGGGAAATGGGCCTTCAGCCTCCGTAGGGCCTCCAAGGGACTGGGAAAGGCTGTTATCACCCTTCCCAGATAAATAGAGAGGATCTGGAGCCAGGTAAGAAAGAAAAACGGGCCTTCCCCGCCCCCAGGCCCTCCAGAGGCAGGAAACAGCTTGTTTCCCTACTTCTGGTGGGCCCAGAAGGCCGGAAAATCAGCTGGCTGGTGCACGCATGCGTCCCAGAGCTGAGCTGGCGTGCCCACTAATATGGCTCTGCGTGCCACCTGTGGCACGCGTGCCATACGTTAGCCATCATGGGTATAGGGTTTTCTGCCTAAGCAGGGGATTGGATTAGTAGACTTCCAAGCTCCCTTTCAACTGTTACAGGTAGTCCACGACTTACAATTGTTATGTGCTAACAAAATTTATGTTGCTAAGTGAGAAATTTGTTAAGTGAGTTTTGCTCCATTTTACAATTTGCCACATTTGTTAGGTGAATCGCTGCAGTTGTTAAATTAGTAACACTGTTGTAAAGTGAATCTGGCTTTCCCATTGACTTTGCTCGTCAGAAGGTCACAAAAGGTGATCCCATGATCCTGGGACACTGCAACTATCATAAATATGAACCAGTTTTCAAGCATCTGAGTGTAAATCACGTGACCACGGGGATGCTGCGAAAAATGGTCATAAGTCACTTTTTCAGTGCTGTTATAACTTTGAATGGTCACTAAACAAACCGTTGTAAATCAAGGACTACCTGTAATCTATTCTGTTCTGGAATTGGAAAATGAACTATCATACCTGAGTCTTCAATGGCAGTATTAAAACTGCACAAATGAAATAATGTTCGTTGGATGATAAAATAATGTATCAATTGCAATATTTATTTTCTATCCAGGGAATATATTAGGAGCACATCTGCAGCTAGTGTTAAATCAACCAACCTGGCTAAAATCACCAAGCCCTGTGAAAGCTGCTTTGATCAACTTAAAAGTTCTCTTTTTTTGGTTGCCAAATTGGTTTCAGCTGGCTTCTCTCTGGTGTTCCAATTAGTAATATGTATGCATTAAAAACTAGAAAGAGATGTGTAGGTATTAGTTTAATAGAGCCATGCTGTGTATAATCAGGTCATGGTGATTTATTCAACAAGACATAATTTTTAAAACTTTGGTTTAGTTTATGTATGAAATGAACCATGATTTCATCACATTCAGCTAAACTTTGATCGTGACATTTATTACAAGAAAGCATCAAGTAATTCAGGTCTTTACAGTTTGATTCTGTTCTGATTTTACAAAGGTTTTATACAGTGATGAAATCCATCTTTTTTTTACTACTGGTTCTGTGGGCGTGGCTTGGTGGGCAGGGTGTGGCTTTGTGGGCATGGCGTGGCTTGGTGGGCGTGGCAGGGGAAGGATACTGCAAAATCTTCATTCCCACCCCCTCTGGGGCCAGCCAGAGGTGGCATTTGCCGGTTCTCTGAACTACTCAAAATTTCCGCTACCCGTTCTCCAGAACCTGTCAGAACCTGCTGGATTTCACCCCTGGTTTTATATCTTTTCAATTTTATTAACAAGTGCAAATGTTCTTATTGTCTTCAGTTTTATGGTTTCATTTTGTGCTTCCTAAATGAATTACTTTTGCAAAGGTAGTCAGAACAATTTATAAAGCAAAATCTTCTTCTTCTTTACTAGGTACTCTTGGCGACATCAAATGCGTGAATTTAAGAGTGAATATCGAGTTGTGGCCTTGGATTTGAGAGGTTATGGAGAAACAGATGCTCCCGCCCACCGAGAGAATTACAAGCTGGATTGTCTGATTACAGATATAAAGGATATCTTGGAGTGTCTTGGTGTGTGAATAGCAGCCCCGCTGCCCAATTTATAATAACCCTGGAAAAGGGACTAGCTAGATGATAATATATTTCCTTTAACAAAGTCTTTTTTGAGGTGATTGTTGATGTGTATGTATATAGCATATATTCTTTTCTTGCTATAAATTTAGTTCCTATGATTTATTGTTTCTTTTTTAAAAATCTTGGGGATTTTTAGCTATTTAATTGATTTTGTATATCTAGAGCTGAGAGACCAATGCTTAAATGGGTGCAGAATGGTCTTTCCAGATAATGAAGTTCCAGAGCTTAAACCAGTCACACTGTGAATTGGATAATCGTGATGTAGACTGAAGGAATAGACAATTTTATTTTCCTTGCAATTTGCTATCTTCTTGAAAATAAGCTCTAGCATTTTGGGCTGAGGGGAAAAACCAAATATCACCTCATTACCTCTTCCCACCATAGGGAAGTTCTGCTGGATTCTGGTTTTCTCCCCCAAAGGATTAAGCTTTTTTTCCCCCGTAAAAGGTTAGATTTGAAAGCAAATTAATCTCTTGTTAGCTAAAAACAAAACAAAAAGGTTCTGAATGCTTTTGCTAATTGGAATGCAAATTAGGGAAAATACCTATAACAGTAATTATATTTATTTATGGTCAGAATCTCATTTAATAAAACCTCAAACCTTTAGGATAATATTCTCATTGAGCACATTCATAGATTTAGTAAACATTCAGTGTGATATAATTGTTTTTGTATACTAGGTACACAGCTATCAAACGACCGACAACTGTTCCTTTCACACAGAAACAATGTAAACTGGAGCATTTCTCCAAGCTCTATAATTAAATGTTCAGTCAGTGTACAAATGCATATCCACCATGTTATTTTCTTTGACGATAAACCATATTAGAAAAAATAAAAAGAGTGAGAAGTTGATGTTAGGAGGGCAGGAGATAATAGAAAACATAAGGAAACCAACAAAGGATAAAATTAAAGGTTTATCCTCATGTACTATTAACCATGGCAAGAAGATGGCCCACTCTTTTTAAAAGTCACATTTGCATGGTTTATTCCTTGCCTACCAACTTAAATTGATACATAGCTGCCCTGGATGTAAAGTAGTGTTTTTCATTCTTCTGCTGCTATATATTTTGCCATATGCATATCTACAGTGCTTCATTGATGATGTTGCTGATAGGATTTGCCCAGGTTCTATTGATCATCTGAGGCTTAGAGACTTTTGCTGCCCATCACCTACTTTGGTCATTTGAAATTTCCACATAATAGATTTTAGTAAGACAGTAAGCAGTCCCATAAAATAAATGGCTTTGGAAAACTTAGATTTAATCAAAGAAGGGTATTTTTTTTCTTTTTTTAATCACATGGAAGACTGAAACAATATAATGCAAGAGAGATAGAGGCAAACAAGAAATGAATGATGGCATATACAGTACACTCTTAATGTTCTACTACTGCAGCCTGAAAGAGTTACCATGTATTATTTCTTCAATTAATATCACTCATGAGCCTATAAATTTAGACAAAATATAATTGTCCAAACAATATAACATGCTCCAAATTGTCATTGGATTTGTATTGTTTAAGCAATATTCAAAGGATCTTCTCAAATATTTTTTGACTAAATCATCTAATTATGATCATTACTGAATTAGATCATCATAAATCAGTGGGTTATACCTGATATTATATGAGTTTTTTTATTTATAATTTATTTAAATTTAATTTATACACCGCCCTTCTCCTGAAGGACTCGGGGCGGTGTACAGCCAATTAAAAACACAAGATACAAACAACAGTTTTAAAATAGTTAAAAGTATTAAACAATTTCGGCCCGAATTTAAAACCAAAATTTAAAACACCCAATTTAAAATCATTTACATAGACAGCCCTACCTGGCGGAACAGCAGGGTCTTAAGGGCATAGCGAAACACACGGAGGTCAGAGATCTTGCGTATTTCCGGTGGCAGTTCGTTCCACAGGGCAAGAGTTCCCACAGAGAAGGCCCTTCCCCTGGGTGTCGCCAGCCAACATAACTTGGCCGATGGCACCCTGAGGAGTCCCTCTCTGTGGGAGCGAATTGGCCGGTGGGAGGCCACTGGTGGCAGAAGGTATCCAGGTCCTAAGCCATGGAGCGCTTTAAAGGTGGTAACCAACACCTTGAATCGCACCCGGAAGACCACTGGGAGCCAGTGCAGCTCGCACAGGAGAGGTGTCACGTGGGTGCAACGAGTCGCGCCCATAACTACCCACGCGGCTGCATTCTGGACCAGTTGGAGCTTCCGAGTGCTCTTCAAGGGGAGCCCCATGTAGAGAGCATTACAGTAGTCCAGCCGGGAGGTGACAAGGGCGTGAGTGACCGTGCGTAAGGCGTCCCGGTCCAAAAAGGGCCGCAACTGGCGGATCAGGCGAACCTGATAGAAAGCCCCCCTGGCCACGGCCATCATATGTTCTTCTAAACACAGCCGTGCATTCAGGAGGACACCCAGATTGCGAGCCGTCTCGGGGGGGGGTAAAAATTCACTCCCAATAGTCAGCGATGGCACCAGCTGACTATATCGGGACGCTGGAAGCCACAGCCACTTGTTCTTGGAAGGGTTGAGTCTGAGCCTATTTCTCCTCATCCAGACCCGCACGGCCTCCAGGCAGCGGGACATCACATCAAGGGCATCATTGGGGGGGTCTGGGGTGGAGATGTACAACTGAGTGTCATCAGCGTACTGATGGACTCTCACCCCAAAACCATGGATAATGTCACCCAGCGGCTTCACATAAATGTTGAACAGAAGGGGCAAGAGGACCGACCTGTGCGGCATCCCCCACGCAAGGCGCCTCGAGGTCAATCTCTGCCCCCCTGCCAACACAAGCTGCGAACGGTCGGAGAGGAAGGAGGAGAACCACTGTAGCACGGTGCCTCCTATTCCTAACCCCCATGGTTGATGGTATCAAAAGCCGCTGAGAGATCTAATAGGACCAGGACAGAGGAGCAACCCCTGTCCCGAGCCCTCCAGAGATCATCCACCAATGCGACCAATGTACCCCTGCCTGAAGCCCGACTGGTACAGGTCCAGATAGATAGCTTCATCCAGGTATCGGGGAAGTTGTGCCACCACACTCTCAACAACCTTCGCCACAAAGCGAAGGTTGGAGACCGGACGGTAGTTAGCTAATATAGCCGGGTCCAGGGATGGCTTCTTGAGGAGGGGCTTCATCACGCCTCTTTCAAGGCGGCGGGAAAGGTACCGTCACTCAAAGTAGCATTTATAATCGCCTGGAGCCAGCCTCGTGTAACCTCCCGGGAGGCCAGTACCAACCAGGAGGTACACAGGTCCAATAAACATGGCAGCACTAATCCTACCCAGAATCCTGTCCACGTCCTCGGGAGCCACAGGATCGAACTGTGTGATGAGTAAATACTAATTAGAATTAATTCATTCTTTTCTACTTAATTTTTTGCAAACCATTTTTAAAACCAGCTGGTAAAGTAGAATTACAAATATTCTCAGGTTACAAAGGATGAAAGTAGAAATTTCAGGCACATTAGAAAACACACTGAAATTTCCCACCTTGTTCTTGCTAGGTTGTTAGCTATGATTCTTGAAAAGTTTATTAATAGATCACCTACGTCTGGTGGTGTAAATCATTTGCCAAAGGGGGAAAATGTGGGATATTATTTGCAAGTACACTGCAAAATCTACTGTCATTTCCTTTGATGTGATAATTTATTTGCGTGGAACTGTTGATAAACATCTGTCAAAAATCTATTTTTAAACAACAGGATACAGCAAGTGTGTGCTGATTGGTCACGACTGGGGTGGAATGATTGCTTGGCTAGTTGCTATTTGTTATCCAGAAATGGTGACAAAGCTTATTGTTGTGAATTTTCCGCATCCCTCCGTTTTTACAGGTGAGTTTAAAAGAAAAGCTGCAGCATTAAGAAATGCTGTGCAAATATTTCTAACAAATAGTAACTTGTATTTGGCCATCATCATCATTTATATATGTCCTACATTTACTTCAAGTAGCTTAAATTGGAGAGCTGAGAGAATTATTAGGCCAAAATCACTAATACAAGGTTACGTGGTAATTTGAAGTTGCATCGGCCTGGCCCTAATATAAAAATCATAAATAGGAAATTGTTTAGTTTAGCAAACTGAAGCAAAATAAACAAAAATGAAATATACAGGACGTATACATATTGCTTTATCCCATAATTGCTTGAATGTGTTGAAAAACTGAAAAACCTTGTTTTTCTGGAAAAATTACAGAACTGTAGAGTACTTTGGTTTCTCCAAATTATGTTTTTCCTGATTAGTAGCTGTGTATTCTGTATTTATATGTATGTATAAATGTTCGACTATATGTGGGGAGGATGTGTGGGTATAAATGTATGAAAGATGTCTTTCCCCCAGATGTGCCAAGACTGTACTTCCCAGAATACTGATGAGGAATTTGGGGAACTGTCCTCCAAACACATCTGGAAAGCATCAGATCAGAGAAATTGTTTTAAGACCTGTGAATCGTATTACCAGCTTCGGGTTCTCTCAGATCTCATAGTTGTTCTAGGGAAAAAAGGAAGCAGTAATATTGAAAATAAGTAAATGTGGGAGTTTGTATAATATAAAAATATTCATAGATGGACAAGACGGTTAAATCTAACTATTTACATGGCTCCGTTGTTTTGACTTTTTTCTGCTTCTTCTATCAGTTTGATGTTATAATCTATGTTTCCTAACCTTGATGCCTGTCAATAGTCTTCAGCTCCAGAATTCTTAGTAATGATGACACTGACTGGAAAATTCTTGCATCGAAGCTCATGGATCTGTAAGGGTCACCCAGAGAAATCTGGTTTAAATTGTGGACCTATTAGCTATTTTTTTTCAATTCATAGGAACATCTATAGAACACGGCTATGGAACTTAGTTCCTGAGGGATGTGGCATGTCACACCTCTCCCTATCTCTCAAATAGCAAAATTTTTCTAAATGTAATTGCAATCTCTTATTTCTTCTAGCATAACATTGAAAACAAATTGTGGAAAGACACTTGGGACTCTGTCCATCTATCCATCAGCAGTATAACTTTGAAAACTGAATAGAACAGGACCAAGTTTTATATAATGCATAAAGTCTGCAAAAGAAACATTGAATGCAAAAATGGTCCATATACTACTTAGAAATGTAGGGTAAAATATTCCAGAAAAAAAAATCCCAATGCTTCCCTATGAAAGAGGTATTTGAGCAGCAGTTGAGAATAGTTAAATAAGATTATTTAACTATTATTTATCCAGATTAAGAATTTATATTTTTCCCTCAACCCTATTTTGATTCTTCCTATTTCCTCATCACCTTTATCTTCATTATCAGTTCCTTAAAAAAGCCCAGTGCAGGATCTCAATGTGTTAAATTAAAACACACACATTTTAGCTCTTTTTGCTTTTCTATGAAGAAAGATATTTGACATAAGAATTGGATAATAATAGTAATAATAATATGCACTGAGTAGAATTGGATTTGTATCTTGGTAAATTTGTACAAAATTGAGCTACTCACATTAAAAATACCTTATTTCAAAAGATTAGTATAACGGAACATAATTCAAAGACCATAGTTTCTCATTTTAACTCATGGTTTTCTTTTTAAGAATACATTGTGCAACATCCATCACAGATGATTAAATCGGCCAACTACTATTTCTTCCAAATGCCATGGTTTCCAGAACTTATATTTTCAATAAATGATTTTAAGGTGAGTATATTTAGAGAATGGGTGACTTTCCATGTTCTCATGCACTATTGAAGGAAAAGTAGGCAGATATGAAAAGTGTGCTTTTAATATTTAACAGTCTTTAAAATATTGGAGTTAAAATGCATACCTTAAATATTTGTTTTGTGATGTGGGTATAGGAATACTTCATATGCACAAAGCCAAATTTGCTGTTCTTTTATTTGGGAATAAGTTTGACTAAATAAGTAATTCAGAAGTCCAAACTCTGTCTGTCCTCTGGATTACTACAGCATGTTCTACATGAGTCTTTGCTTGAAGGGGCAAAGAGGTGCTGCAAGTAGATGCGCCAGAATGCAGACAGGCAAAAAAATCAACAATTTCTGACTTCTTGCTGGTTTCCCCATTGACATTGTTGTGGGAAGCTAGCAGGGAACATCGGAAATCATGATTATGTGACCACAGCTCACTGTGAACACATAACTGTGAGATGTTGTGACAGTCAGAACTCCAAAGACTATTGTTAAATCCCTCTTGTTCAGTGCCATGGTAAATTTGAACAGTCACTGAATGCGTGGTCATGACCCCCGGACTCTGTACCTACAACAGTTTTAATGTGAAACTTTAGTATCAGCGAAGCTTCCAATTCTACCCTGTTTCCCCCAAAATAAGACATCCCCTGATAATAAGACCAATTGGGCTTTTGAGCGCATGGCAATAAGGCTGAGCACTGATTTTAGGATTTAAAAAAATATAAGACAGGGTCTTATTTTCAGAGAAACATGGTAGTATTGATTAAGAAAATCCTGACAATTTTCTCTGGAGCTGCAAGTTGTTTCCCACTGGCATGGATTCGTGCTTTGCGCTGGTTCCTCCTTATCCATTCTTCCGGGTGGATCTGAGAGATTATTTTTCCCTTTCTCCACACATTTTTTCTTTGCAACAAACAAATGCAATGAGATTAGGGTTAAGAGGACCAATAGTATTGACGTTCTCTCTTTGGCTAATTGCAGAGAGCACTCCTGAACTACCACAGATTCCACAGCAATCAAGATTCCTGTGGGCAGCACAAGTGCAATTTTGAGGGTTTGGGTTGAAACCTGCTGCTGCGTGGAAATGTCCTTATTTTTTTTTTCCAAAGTCAATACATTTCTGCAAATTTTGAAAATCTGTCGAACCTGCTGATGTCTTTCCCTTGTGGGGTTACACTTGGATTGTTTAGTTTAGTTTAGTTTAGTTTTTTTAGATTTGTATACCGCCCTACTCCCGAAGGACTCAGGGCGGTGAAGAGGCACAGAATAAAATACATAAATACAAAAGTTAGAAACAATTTAAAACCAAATTAAATAATTTAGCCCAAGACAATTAAAAATCCCAATAATTTAAAACAAATTAAAATTTCAGTTTAAAAAATTAAAAAGAAAGGGGAGAAAATTAGGCCAGGCCAGCTTGCTGAAATAGGAGGGTCTTAAGAGCACGGCGGAAAGTGCGCAGATCCGGGATCCTCCGTATCTCCGGGGGGAGCTCGTTCCAGATAGTGGGTGCCCCCACAGAGAAGGCCCTCCCCATGGGGGCCGCCAGTCGACACTGTTTGGCTGACGGCACCCGGAGGAGCCTCTCTCTGTGAGAGCGTACCGGCCGGTGGGAGGCTGTTTGTGGTTGTAGGCGGTCCCGTAAATAGCCAGGTCCTAAGCCATGGAGCGCTCTAAAGGTGGTAACCAAAACCTTGAAGCGCTAAGGTGTTACACTCAACCCTTAATCATTTGGAGCAGCTTTTAACATTTTGTATTTATTTGCTTATGTATTGATACAGGTGTTGAAAAACATCTTTACCAGCCATTCTAGTAGAATTGGAAAGAAAAGCTGTGGGTTAACAACAGAAGACATTGAAGCTTATCTTTATGTATTTTCCCAACCAGGAGCACTAACTGGTCCAATTAATCACTATCGAAATCTTTTCAGGTCAGTTCCTCTTCCTGCATCAAGCAAATAAATCTGTCTTATTTTCCATCAGTACATTGCTGCCTTCAAGACTTTCTGGATTTTGATGATACAGAATAATATAAGAAAGAGCCATAATCATGTTTTATGGGTTTTAAAGACAGCATGCCATCTTATAGCAGCCAAGTCAATGCATGTGGGTTCACAAGTCTGAACTAAGTACAATAGTCCCTTCCCCAAAGGTGCTTTTTTCAAGAGGCAACTGGACTTTCTGATTTTTCTTTGAGGACTTTTCACTTCTCATCCAAGAAGCTTTTTTAGCTCTGGAAGCTTCTTGGATGAGAAGCGAAACAAATTCAAAGAAAATCCAGAAAGTCCAGTTGCCTCTTGAAAAAACACCTTTGGGACAACCATGACCTGGATGACTAAGAATCTCCATAGACAGATAGTCCTTTCCATTGTCAGCTCCGTTTTCACTGGCAGAGGGTTGTAGGAGGCCGTGGCAGCCAAAAACAGAGCTCGGGAGCCCGTTTTTGCTGGCAGAGCGCTTGGGCCATCACAGGCTCCCCTGACATTAGTGACGTTGAGCTGGCCACACACACCCTGGCCATGCCCCCCCTGCCCCCGCCAGAGGTCAAATACAACCCTGATATGGCCCTCAATGAAATTGAGTTTGATACCCCTGAATGAAGGTAGTCCATGTTTAGTGACCACAATTGGGACTGGCAGTTAGTAAGCAAAGCAGTTGCTAAGTGAAACCATGATTGTGCTTATGATCTTACTTCATTTTCCTTTCCTTTACGTATCTGTAGTGGTCGTAAAAACAAGGATTGGTCATAAAATTACTTTCTCACCACTGAAGTCACTGCAGATAATCACTGTACAAGGCAGGCCCTAAAGGAGGACTACCTATATATTAAAAGCTGCTGTATTTTTTGTATAAAGCATTAAACATTAGTTGTGCATGTGTTCTGATATGTAAATTCCATACATCTTAATGGAATTTTCTTAATGTTACTGATTTCATATACAGCTAAGGGGTAAAATACTTTCTGCCAAAAGTAAAAATAAAATTTTCAGATCAGTCACTAATTCTAAAATGCAAAGGTCTGAACCAGATCTATCGTGTGCATTAATTAATGTCCCTGGAGAGGAATTTGTTTGATTTACAGTACAATAAGAATGCAAGTGCATCTGCATTCATTTTAGCTACAAATGGAAACTTGTGATTTATAACAAAATTGAACTTTTTTTCTTATAATTTTTTAAAAATATTTTCTTTTTAAAGTTGTCTGCCGCTGCAGCATCATGAAGTCACCATGCCTACTCTACTGGTATGGGGAGAAAAAGATCCTTTTATGGAAGTTGAGATGGCAGAAATCACAAGAATTTATGTAAAAAATCAATTTCGACTTACTGTTCTGTCTGAAGCCAGCCATTGGCTCCAAGAAGATCAGCCTGACATTGTGAACAAGTTGATATGGACTTTTCTAAAAGAAGAGTCAAGAAAAAGAGAGTAACTCTTTTGACAGCACAACTGAAATATTAAAAGATCAAAGTTCAGTGTAAGCAGGGTCACATTAATGGCAAAATGTTAGATTGAACTATGCTAGAGAAGATATTTTCAATGTACTGTATATATTGATGCCAATATTCTTACCAGGGTGGTGTAAGACTATGTAATATTAATGTTGGTTTTACCTGTATTGTGTATTTTGCACATGGAACACTTGCCTTAAAATGTTTGTGCTTGTACAGTAAGGAACTCATAGAAAGTTGCTTAGTTTTGGTTACTTACTTGCTTTAAGATGTGTGGTGCCTTTTATGAATTTATAATTATCTCAGTGCAGGGGTACCAGTTGTAAAAGAAACAATTATTGGTAAACTGATCAATTTTCATTCTACTGGTTGGAATTTTTTAAACTATATTTTTATCATTAAAAATGTTAATAGATCTTTTGATCTACAGTATATATAATTTTAGAAATCTAAAAATGTTTGGGCACACCGGAAATCAATCAGATATAATCATTAAAAACTTGATTGCTTCTTGTGCAGTGGTATAAATTTAAAAAAAAATAGGATGTGTGCACACAGTATTTTAAAAACTAAAATAGAAAATGAAGAACCACAATCATGACTTGTATATTCTACTCTCGTTCTAATAAACCGCAACTGGCATTGTGCCCTGTATCTTTTGATTGTGAGATTTCTGTATATATGACAGAAGAGGTGGACATTACTAATCCATAAACAATTACTAGGTTTAATATATAAAGATTTCCTGAGGTAACCAGTTAATACTAAAAAGTCCAAAATGTGATTTTCTGGAAAATAACTTAGCATGATGACTTTTACTTGCATCTACACATGGGTATGACCAGTCTGCAAACTTAGTACATAATGAAAGAGTCAGAGACATTTAAATTCTAATGGTATATATCTAGAACAAATTTTGAAGTATTGTTTTCTCAAAAAATTCCATGCCTATTTGGAACCTAATGCAAAGAGTAGCCAGGCAATCATATAGATCAGTTTTAAGATAGCTGAAGACACATTCATTAACATTGGAAGTTCAAGAATTCTTAGCTAAAGTGAAGCAGGAATGTATGTATGTATGTATGTATGTATGTATGTATGTATTTATTTATTTATTTATTTATTTATTTATTTATTTATTCGATTTATATGCCGCCCTTTTCCCAAGACTCAGGGCGGCTTACAATGTATTAAGCAATAGCCTTCATACTTTTGTATATACCTGCTTAGTAGGGCTTTCGGACCCCCCAAGCGGTGTTCTTTTTTATACAAAGTCAGCTTTGGAATGTCTTTGATGTTGTTGCAATATCTCAACTTGAAACTTAACAGTTGAATTAACAATAACTGAAAGCTTTTCCCATCCTTTCTCAATCCACCTCTTAGAAACAAGATCATAGAAAGAGAGACAAGTTCAGTCATCAAATCTTGTAAATACAGGATTAAAGGCATTCAAATTAGTGTCTTATGTGTCTGTGGTTTGCTTTTCATGAGCCTTGCCATGGTTTTTCTGTGAACAGTTGATCCTTAATGCCTTCCAAGCTAGACAACGGACAAAAATCCTTTTAAACGAATTATGGGACTGCTGCATTAAGAGTGCAGCACTGCAGGCTAGCTGCAGTTTGGCAGTTCAAATCTCACCGGCTCAAGGTTGACTCAGCCTTCCATCCTTCCGAGGTGGGTAAAATGGGGACCCAGACTGTTGGGGGGAAATAGGCTGACTCTGTAAACCGCTTTGAGAGGGCTGTAAAAAGAGAGAGCTATATATTTCAACTACTACCCAGAGCCTCGGATCACTTGCTCCAGCAACCTACACAAGAAGCAGCCTCCTCCATGTGTTCCACAGGACAGTAAACAACAGGGAGGCGGGGATTTAGCCATTCCTTTTGAGGACGGCACACCGCGATTGGTCTACGGCTTTCCGCTTTGCCCAATGAGAAGGAAGAAGCGGGATGATCTTCGACAGGACTCGGATCGAACATGTTTCCGGCGTTAATGAAACTGCTGCCCGTTCCAAGCTATTCCTCCTGGCCGGAGCAAAGCGGGATCGCCGCGAACCCGAAGCGCTGCGGTTGTTAAGAGAGGGCAACAAAGGGAAGCGTTTAGCGCAAAAAGGGGGTTTCCGACGTCTTTCAAAGGCCGGCGATTTGGAGCCGTCTGCTTATGAGTAAAACCCCGCCACGGGTGTGACACATCCTATCTCCAGGCCAAAAGAGCCTATGCCGCCCCACCGCCGGCTGGTTCTTAATTCATGCCATGGCGCGTTGTGGGGGGGACTCGGTCTCCAGGGGCTCCGGAGGTCCCCGGGAAGAATCGGGAAGAAAAGGCGGCGAGAGGGGTTCCGCGGAAAGGCGGAGGCTGAAAGAGTTGGTGGCGGAGCAACTGAGACGCGATATGGAAAGGTAAAAAAATAAATAAATAATAATAATAATAAAAAAAGCCAGGATATCACAGGGACGCCAGCTGTTTTGCACACATTTACCCCTTCAACAAAAGGAGGTCCGTGAAACCCACGTGGGCGTGTCACTGCAGCAGAGTGGAAAGGAAAAAACCTGGATTTGCTGGGAGTCCAAATGCATTCACACGTGCAGTCTGTAAACACGACATCTACCCGCGGTTTTCTTTGAATTTTTATAGTCACTGTGACCAAGGGTTGGTTGTGGAAGCTCCACATTCTCTTCTCTGGGCCTCTTTTTGGGGAAGAAAATGTGGCGCTTTGAAGATTGAGTGAGGAAAAGAATGAAGGTTGAAACAGTATTTGCTCAAGTTATGGTGGATCTACTGTCACCATACAGAAAAGCAAAGGTTTTCCTCTGCTTGGCAACCAGCTGTTGCTAAAGCATCAGGAGCCACATTAGTCAAAAGGGAGATAATTCCACAGCAGACTCTGTCTCTGAAAACAACAACAAGACACCCAGGGGAACCCCCAAAACAAAAGACAATCGTACCTTCCTGTGTGTGTTTCCCAGCAACTGACCTTTGGAAATACACTGAGCAGTATACCTACAGCCTTAAGAAGTGAAGCCTGCAGCAGCAAAAGTAAAATAGCTCATCAGTAAAACACAGTGGTCAGTAGGATGTGATGAATGTTAACCACATTAAAGCCTGGTGAGAAAAAGACTAGTAGAGTTTTCTGTATAAAATTTGGCATAAGATGAGTATCAGTACAGAAAAACAGTTGGGTTCATCAATCTATCCGAAAAGGCATTCGGATTGTCATCAGAACACGTAACTTGGTTCACATAGAAGCTGGTATTCTCTAACAGTTCCGGAATATTGAGGGCAAATCCAAAAGGGTTTTCTTTTAGTTTTGTTTTTTTACTTATGACATGTTTGGAATTTTGGAATAATGACCAGGAGGAACCTGACCATAATATATTACTTTCACAATAAGCAGACCCCCACCAGCCTTTCTGTCACTTCACCCTAACTCTGGTGTTTTGCTCCATCATTTTCACTTTTTCAGAATGCTTCTGGGTATGTATGTGAATGGGCAGAAACATATCTGGAAATTTCATTTCTTTTTAAGAATCTAAAATAAAGAATCTAAAATAACTCACTTGAAAGGCACGAAGAAGATGAGAGTGTCTTAGGCTGAACTGAACACCTCCTGAAAACTTGCTTGAGTTGGCCATGTTTTGGGACACCTACAGAGGCCTATGTAATAATTAAGAAACTGGGAAATTGTTTGTGTGTCTCTTTTATGCTTTTTTCATTACTTTTTAAAAGGCAAATTTGCATATTAGTTTACTTTAAAAATGCAAATGCATACAATATGATAAGAAAGGCTGCCCAATATCATCTTTCCTTACCAAGTAAAGAAATTGCCCAAAAAGGACAGAAAATATAAAAGGGGATGATATCCAAAGGGGATGCAGAGGTAAACAAGATGGAGATATTTTGCTCAGGGAAAGGAAGATATGATTGATTTGAGGCTCTTTACTGCCCCAATAAGAATGAAGATAAAGTTGCTACTAATGTTAGTAATTTCACTGCTTGAGCAAATTTTGTCCAACATAAAGATGAAGCTATATTCACATGATTTATTTGTGGTAGAACTAGAAAAGAGAAAATATTTGAAAATATACATTAGAATTCCTGACCCAAACCAGTTGTCTCTTATTTTACTAGAGATATGAAATCCCCTTTGTTTTCTAGACCTTCACTTTACCATTCAAGTACAGTCAACTAAATCCTCTAGAATTTGCTTTTCTTTCTATGAAGGTTTGTCTAAGCCATGACCATTCCTAAATCAAAAGACCTTATTCATTCATGCCTTGGTCACCTCTTCCACCAGTTGATCTTAACTCATTCTACCAGGGCTGTCCTAGAAGATTATGTTGAGTAAAGAGTGCTTTCTGCTTTGAGTAATGCCACTATCATAAGAACTGCTCTAGTTGCCACTGGCTTCTGGATGCAATTCAATCTGTGGGATCATCTTTTAGCAGTTTTTCTTTGTCTTAGTTGAGAATGAACCATTTGAATTTCATCCTTGCTGTTTTCAGGATCCATGAGGATGTGCTTTTTCTGTAGCTATCCCCCTTGAGAATAGTACTATTACAGGGGTGTCAAACTCAAATTTCATTGAGGGCCGCATCAGGGTCGTGTTTGACCTCGGGGGACTGGAGTGGGGTGGCCAGGTAAGTGTGGCCAGCTCAACGTCACTCATGTCACCGCTCCTGCGCGAGCTGCACTGGCTCCCAGTTGTCTTCCGGGTGCGCTTCAAGGTGTTGGTTATCACCTTTAAAGCGCTCCATGGCATAGGGCCTAGCTATCTTCGAGACCGCCTGCTGCTACCAACGACCTCCCATCGACCCGTGCGCTCCCACAGAGAGGGCCTCCTCGGGGTGCCATCAGCCAGACAATGTAGGCTGGTGACCCCCAGGGGGAGAGCCTTCTCTGTGGGGGCACCTACCCTCTGGAATCAGCTCCCCCCAGAGATAAGGAGAATCCAAGACCTCAGTGCCTTCCGTCGCGCCCTTAAAACCCATTTATTTAAACAAGCCGGGCTGGCTTAAGATGAAATTTTTAACTGTTTTTAAATGTTTTAAACGTTTTTAATTGGTAAATGAGTTTTAATTGGGCCAAATTTATATATCTTTTAATTGTTTTTAATATTTGTTCTGCATGTTTTTTTTAATTTGGCTGTACACCGCCCTGAGTCCTTAGGGAGAAGGGCGGTATAGAAATCCAATATAAAATAAAATAAAATAAAATGTCAGAGGTGCCTGTAGTGGCCCGAGTGTTCTGCCAGCAAAAACGTGCTCCCAAGCTCTGTTTTTGGCAGCAACAGATTCCAGAGCAACCCTCTGCCAGCGAAAACAGAGCTTGGGGAGGGGGGGCGCGGAGGAGCTCCGTTTTCACTGGCAGAGGTACCACAGGTCGGTCCCTTGCTGTTTCCAGGTTGGCCTCGTGGGCCAGATCTAAGCACCCCGCGGGCCGGATCGCAGTTTGACACCCCTGTGCTATTAGGTGCGAAAGACATGAGGTCTCAGTTAAGCTGATTTATTGCTAAAAGCCTATGCACATCTCCTGAACTAATGATCAGTATCTGGTTAGAATTAGATAAGGGTCAACAGCACTCAAGGAGGATTTGCTCGTGGCCATGTAGGGATTTTAGGCTGCGCTTCCTTTCACTGCCCCCAAATTCTGCCATTCTTTCTCCTACAAGTGCTCCGCTAGAAGTCAGATTTGCACCAAATCCTGTTGGCGTACAGGAAACCCATCAAGACCTAGATGTTTCAAAGATGTTCATTCGCACTAGGGAATGATGGTAGGGCAAGATCCTTTCCTGAGTAGATTACAGTTGTTTTGTTGCTATATTGTTGTTTTCCACAGTATGTCAGTGGGTAGGACATTTATTATTATTGGGCTTGAGTTTTATGTTTCTTTTTATTCTTTCTATTTTCCTTTTATATCATTTGTAAGCCCCTATAAATTAAAGCAAGATAGATACAGCAGTGTATTGCAATCTGCAAGCACCCCTTTGTCTTATATGTGAAGTTGTTTCTATTCTATTGCAGACTTCTTAAAGAAGAAATCCAAACCGACATCACTTTCTATGTTGGCAATACACTCTTCAAAGCTCACAAGGCAGTACTTTTAGCAAGAGTCCCAAATTTCTTTCTGCATGTTGTTGGAAAACATTTAAATACTTGTAACAACTGTGAAGCTTTAAAACTGCAATATTTGGAACCTTCTGAATTTAAAACTTTCCTGCAGTAAGTTTCTTCTCATTATTTTACATTTTAAATTGCATTTCAAACTGAAATTATGATTTTGTATGGAGAGTTAAGAAATCCATTCAGCCACCCAGTTATATTGTTCAGAATTCTTTTTCTACTGCAAAGATCGAACTAACCTTTAGGTTGCATATTAAGACACATATTTTTGTTTTTCCCTGTCCTGCAGTTTCCCGGAGCTCTATTTTCCAAAAATTAACATTTAAATTTGAAAATATATCTTGTTACACATATTCCAATGCATCTTATAATTGGTAAAATTTGGATAAAAGTAAGTTGTCCTACAGAGTGGTGTCTAGATTGTTGTTCTCAGCATAGCTAAATATCCTGTGTCATACTAGCCTTAACGTGCCAAAATTAGCTAATACTATTCTTACCATTAGCAGAGAATTCTGCATTTAGCACTGGTATGACTAAGACTGTTAACCTGGTCTACTTTTTCTTCTCTTACTAAAAATATTGCATAAAATCCATGATTGATGAAGTCATGACAAGCAATAGAGATTAATATTTATAGGCCCATCTGTTTATAAACACGGCCCAGGAGAAATTATAATTTAAAATGTAGGAAGAATAAATGGCAGAGCATCAACTAAGAAATGAAGTAAATGTCAGTCAGTCAGTCAGTCAATTAGTTAGTTAGTTAGAACATTTATATATCCACCCATCTTCCAGCCAATTCTGGGCAACTCCTAATCAAAAACAACAAATGAAATTATATTAAAACTATAAAATTAAACAGATGAAATCGTTCAAATCAACAAAGACCTGGCATCAAGTCAAACCTCTTCAAAGCTTAACAGAAGTCTAAGAGGGTTAGAGGCCTACCGAACTTCAGGGGCAGAGTCTTCCCCAGGGCAGGGTCTGCCACGGAAAAGGCATGCATCCTAATTTCCACCAGATGGCAGTATTTAGGGGAAGCAAGCACATCCACTATATCTAATCTGGTGGCGGTAAATGTCCTTAGGAAAAGAGAGTCCTGCAGATATCCTGGCCCTGTGCCATATAGAGCTTTAAAGGTGATGACTGGCACCTTGATGGTTTGCAATATAATAATATAAAATTAACATAATATTCAATATAAAAATTAATATTATAAGCCGCCCAGAGTTTACCTTGTGGTAAGATGGCCAGCTAATAAATTTAAATAAATAAATAATTTAAAATAAATAAATTATAGGATATGGTATAAACTAGATTTGCTTATATTTCCTTGTTTCCTCTTATTTCGTATGCTTAATTGCATCTCACTATCTCCTCGTTGACTGTATTTTATATTGGCTTATTGTGAAAGGAAATAGCATGATGGGGTAATCTATAGTATCTATATATGTTTATTTAGATATTCAGGTCTGTTGTTATATGTTTATTAGGTTCAAATGCATTGACAAAATATACATGATCATTAATGTAGACACAAAATGCTTTTGAAACAACATTCATGCAGATACCTACATATTCTCAAAGAGATTGTTTATTTGGGACATTTTTAGTGCTTCATGCTACTTTCAGAATTATTTTAAAAAATAACAAAAATTGTTGTACAGTATTGCAACTTTTGAAAATAAATGGCTTTTTCTCCGTACAGAAATGATGTTCACAACTAGTTACCTTTCTGCAAATTTGAAAGGTTAACCTTTACTTAAACTTGTCATACTTAGATTTGCGGTTCTCACCAAAATCTGTCAAGTGGTGAACCCAGCAAAAATCACAATTTAAATCACAAATTAAATCATGATTTAAATTACTAGTAAAAAGGCTTGATTTAAATCAACTTGCTTTAAATCATAATTTTTAAAGAGCAACTGTCATCTCTGCCCCTCAGTGGCTCCTCCTCTGACCTGCTGTTGACTCACTGACAGTCCCATATTGCAGAATATATAGCTTCAAGCTACATAACTAAGCTCCATTTCATGCTGAATAAATTAAATTATTAATGTATCTTAAATAGAAAACTATCTTTAGATAGATTTTTACTCCAAAAGCATTTTACTAAAATAAGTTGGATAAAAATAAAAAAAATCCAATTTAAATTTAAAAAATCCAATTTAAATTTTTAAAAAATCCAATGTTTTTGATTTTTTTTTTAAAAAAAAACGATTTTTATCCACCCTGGTATAAAGGTATTTGGGGATGACTTTGGAAAGAGCTACAGCCAGGATACTGATTGGATAAGGGGCAGCTTAACCCTTAGAAGGAATGTGAGCATGGCAATTATCTCGGAAGTGGGCCTCATAGTTCTTTGGTTATAAAGGCAATGGAGGAAAAATACACTTTCAAACTTGCAAGTGTTGATATCAACTGTGAGAGGTAATCTAGACAGGAAGCACACCCAGATGAATTAGTTCTACTTTTTTATAAAAGAATCTTGCAAGTCTGTCTTCCAAGGTCTTTCCCACATACAATTCCAGGCAGAGACTGGTAAGATAGAAACCAAAGCCAAAAAGAACCATTATGCACATTTCTCAGTCATCTCCAAAGGCTAGCAGGAGACAGGCCAAGTATCTATTGACTTGGAAATTTGGAGAGAAAAAACTTAGAGTTTAAATTGTGAAGCACAGTTTTATAGATATACAGGCTCTGACTTCATTGCACTGTTTGAACAATCAATTGGGTTAGAAGTTTCGTTCTTGTCAGCAATAAATTTTATAAGCTAGACAAGTCATGTCTGAGAATCTTTTGCCCAGACTAATCAATCCTGCATGTGGGGTTTGGAGAGTCATGATTTAATAGTGAGCTCAGATGTGAATCTGGACAGCTTGATTGGCAATAATTACTGCTATCAGTATGGGAGGTGAGCCTTCATCTAGAGAACTGTGATTCAGCTTCTGGGAGCCCGCTAACTGTTGATAAAGTTTGCTAATGTCTTGCTTTCGATTCAGAACCAAGTGGTGACCAGATGGACCAATTAGTTCAGATGAAAAACTAACTGATGGATTAGGGACACTTGGGACAAAATCTACAGATGGGACAAAATCTACCACCGCTGGTGTTCTGTGGACTACTTTCAGCATCCTGTACTTGTTGGAGTAGCTCCAGTCCCATCAGGAAGCACTAGCACTCTTGCCTAACAAATATGAGAAGAAATCAAGCAACTGAACTACCTTCCTTGCTTAATTAATGGAACTGTACATCCTTAAAATTGGATGGCATCCCCGTAGGCAGAACTAACTTGGAATTTTAAATTAGCCCAATGGCTGAGATTCAAAAAGAGTTTGGTAGCAGCTTTTGAGACTAGCCCATTTTATTGAAAATTCATGGGTGAACCTAATTTCATCAAATGCATCCACAAATGCTTATGCTTCAAATAAAATTATTAGCCTCAAAAGGTGCTAACCTTTTCGATCAGAAAGTGCTCTGAATTTTAATAGCCATATATTGTCATGGTTCTCTTCCTAAAATGTCACCAGTGACCGAGAGAGAGCTGTAAAATGGGCAACATCTGCCTTCTGATTCAGAACAGCCTGCATTTGGACAACGATGTTAATTTTGTAGCAGGCCTGAGAGTTAATTCAAAGATCCAGTTGAACAAGTAACTGTCTACCATGATATTCATCACTTCTGGCGGAGTAAACATTCAGTATGCTGCTGAGTTTCAGCTTTTAACTCGGGACATGGGGCGAAAAATTGACCAGTTCAGAGTGGAACTATCAGATGAAATAAGGGATGAATTTACTCATTAAAGCACGGTAGAGAATATTATAGCACTAATTCAAGTTTCCTTGGGAAAACCCTCTTGGAAAATCAATGTGTTATTTAATTTTATGTATCTTTTTTATTTTGTCTGAGTTGACCTTGTGCCCCATCGAAAGGGCAGTTGCTCTATATAATATTGAAAAACAGAACAATATAATAATAATGTGGAAGGGCATATTCATAAAAAAGAAACCATCTTAAAATTCTTATGTCAAACAGTTTGAATTATGCAGTGTTCAATGTTGTGTTGTACAGTGAGATGATGTTATGTAGGTGTAATTGGAAAGGAAACAAAATCCCACTAAGATTAATGGAAGTTATTGCCAAAACACTGTCAAATGGATTGGAGCCTGACACGTTCTGTTCCTAGGGCTGCATATTCATCGGACAGAATCATTACAGAGGAAGAACAAGAGATTCTAAATAAAAAAGTTTCAATGCCTGAATTAGCGAAAGAAAATGAAGAGTTAACAGTTGGTGGTTTACACAACGATCAAATATGTAGAGAGCAGGGGCTGGGAAACCATGAAAGGACATCTGACCATCACTCGATATTCTGCAAGACAGCTGTAGAAACAGAATGTGCGGCGTCCTCTTTCTCTACTAGTGACATGCCAACAGACGCTATTGATGCTGAGGGTGAGGTAACTGTGTCAGGTGAGATTAAAATGTAATGTGTGAATTGTTATCTAAGACATCAGTTTGGGCTTGTTCACTGCCTCAGACAAAATTTACAGCTATTCCACAAAAAAGATGAATAATTAACGACTGTAACTTGACTCCTGAGTAAATGAGGCTTGCATTAGTCAGACTAAACTATGGGGAGTTCAACAGTCCTTACACCAGCCTATTAACTAAGAGAAGAGTTGCAACATGTACTTCGAATTCCAAAATCATAGGGTTGGAAAGGACTTTGGAGATCTTCTAGTTCAACCTCCCACTCAGTGCAGGAATCCTCATAATAACGAAGTTGGCAAAAGTACCCTCCAATGTACAGCTATTTTCACTTCCTTCAACAAACATACCTTTCTGAAGACTACATGTTACAGGTAGTCCTCGGTTTACAACCACAATTGAGCCTAAAATTTCTGTTGCTAAATGAGACAGTTGTTAAATGAGTATTGCCCCATTTGACAAACTTACTTGCCACAGTTGTTAAGTGAACCACTGCAGTTGTTAAGTCAGTAATACGGTTGTAAAATGAATCTGGCTTCCCCATTGAGTTTGCTTGTCAGAAGATCACAAAAGATGATCACATGACCCCGGAATACTACACCACCATAAATATGCGCAAGTTGCCAAGTGTCCAAATTTTGATCACATAACCATGGGGATGTTGCAGCGGTCATAAGTGTGAAAAATAGTCATAAATCATTATTCCAGTGCCCTTATAATTTTGAACAGTCACTAAACAAATGGTTATAAGTAGGCAGTTGTAACTATCTATACAGAATTCCTTTCTACAAGTAATTTCATTTCTTAAAATTTCTTCATCTATCTTCCTTCCTTTAGAAAATGTTCTACCAATGAACCCAAATCCGTCTATTTGCTCTAGTGTTTTTTTGCCATTTAGTTTACTAATTTATAATAATTAACTGCATGTTCCCTATTAAACACAACAGGAGTACAATAATTTTCAGATCCACATTCCTGGACAGATCTAACGTTCATTGGAAATTATTTGGGTTCTCAGCCAACAATATGGCATTGTGTCCATAGTCGAGGGCATACATATTCATGTCCCCAATCAACATAATCCCAACATCACCTCAAATATTCTTTAGCATACTAATCTTCAAAATACTCCTCCCAGTGTTTCCTCATTTCAGTTTGATCTCAAACTATTTCATCACTTTTTTACTTCCATTTATCTTGCTGGAGGAACATTGTTTAGCACTTTGAAAAACAAGTTTTCATTTCCATCAAATTTACAGGGAAGAGTGTGTGAGGATGCACAAAAGGTACAGGTCAGGAAGTATGCATGAGAGTGTGTGGTGATGTGGAAGAGACATGGCACATGTCAAGAAGGATGCAAGGGAGTGCATGAGGCATGTTCAAGAAGGGTGACTGTGAGAGGGGTGCCACAGGTCAGAAAGGATGTAGAATAGTATATAGGGATATGTGAGTGTCTGGTGTGACATGAGCACAGTGGGACTGGGGAAGGATTTTAAAATAAGGATTTGTCTCAAAGGTCAATTTTTCATAACAGCAAGAATCAAATTGTAATTTAATTGCCATAGGTCAGGTACATGACCTCCTTCAATGCTGGTAATACAACTGAGTGCCTAGTATTTAGAATCAAGGTCTTGCCAAGATTTGAAGATGCCAAATAATAATTTTCTAATGGAAACCATAATGGCTTATTATCAATATAATTTTCATTCCAATACAATACAAAAGTCAACAAATGGGAAGAGTTCATTAGTAGTGCATTTTTGCAGAATGATTGGCTTCCAAGAAATAAAATTTTGTGTAAATCTTTTTTTTTCTTCATATTTTGTTTCTGAAATTTATTTTGTACTATATCAAAAGCTTTTTCTGTGTCTAAGGCTGTTTTAAGTCTCTCAGAATATATTGTTAAAGTATCTACCACTATTCTAACATTACCAGAAGGTTGGCATTCTTTCATAAAGATGAATTATGCAGGTTTAATTATTGATAATCATACCTTCTGCAATATTCATGACCTGAAGAGTCTCTTTTAAAATTCAGTTATGTAAGTCTGATAAAATGATACATGGAGGCTTTTCAAAAGACTTTTATTATGGGAACCAAGATCTCTATGACTTTTGTACCTTTCTTTAAAAATCCAATTACCTTAGTGGTCCTCCCAAATTTCATAAAACCAATGTCTTGCAATGTTGGAAATGGTGACTAAACTTTGAATGAAAATGAGAATCTTACAATGATCTATTTTATTTTCAAAATTAATAGCTGCTTGAGTGGTATCTCCACATTTACAAGCATATCTTGGAAATATTACAGGTCCCTTTCAGCAATAAAATAAATATCATGATGAAGCAAATCATGTGAATTTTTTGATCTGCAGTGCATATAAAAGTTACGTTTACACAATATTATAGTCTTATTAAGTGGCTATATTAAGTGGCTTATTATGCTTAAAAATATACATGCATACATTAAAATACTTTATTACCCAAGCCTTCGGTGAATCATAATCTTTTCATGGTGGAGTGTCTTGTAAAAAAACCCACCATATCTGTGAAATACAATAAAAGGGGCTATGCCTATATATACTGTAATGACAAGTATAGACATTGGAAAGTAAGTTGCATTTCAATACAGTCGTATGTATTATTCTTATCAGTTAAGTAGCCAACAGTTTAACAGATTTAAAAGCATTATACAACTCTAAAAAATGATTCCTTATTCAAAGTTTCCATACTTTATTCTCTAAATTATTATGATATAAACCTTTCAGTTTTATTTTCAGAATATATATACTGGTAGTACAGTCATAACTTATATAAAAACTTTAAATGACCCTCAAATGATCCTCATATTTCTTTTCCATTTATTTAATGAAAAAATAATCAAAATTCATATTGGTAGTCCAGAATTTAAAATCATCTAGTAATGATACTGTATATTAAAATACCATTAGGCACCACTTTGATATTTTTTGCCAGATATGACTAATGCTTTTACTAGATATTGTAATTCTCAAACAAATTAACTATAAATTAAAATACTAACATTTAAAATAAATTAGGACATATGGCATGAGGATATTTTTTTAAGTGCTTATTTATATTAATTTCGTTGATTCATATATCAACTAAGATTATGTAATTTTTTAAAATGAAACTTGTTTTTATTTATCAAAGTAACCAGCTTGAGAAAGAAAAGGATTATATGTAAATACAAAACTTGTAATAATAAAGTTAAAAATAAAACAAAACTCATAACTATATTAATATAATTCTGGGAAATAAAATAACCCACAAAGGGTCACTGTGAAAGTGAAGAAGGAAAAATTGTAATTAAAAATTTAGAAGATGATAACACAGTTACTTCTAAAGGCATTCCCAGTGGAAACCTGCCTAGACATCAGATATAGCCATTCTTCCTCTATCCTATCTGAAAATCCATTTTATTTGAAAGTCAAAAACCTCCTATATTTAATAATTGAATATATACAGAAAAACTAAAGACTGATATGTTGCTCCAATTACAATTTAGATTCTAGACCTTAATTCTAATTAATTAGAAATTTCAGGGTCAGAATTTCTTCTATCCAAAGAGAGAAAATTTGCAGTACAGATAAAGCAGTTATTTATCCCTTGTGTCATAGATTAGCATGAACAAATGTGGCAAGAAATGGGGCAAACTCACTGTTGCTAAAGAATGAAAGAATAGGAATTCCCATTATTGCTAAGTAGAATATTTTAAAGCACTATTGTAAATCTTTACCCAAATTGGGGCTCTCAATTGTTTTGTATTGTGAATCCCAGGATTGTGTTATGTTTTTTCCGTACTTACTTGTAATAATGAGAACTTTAGTTTAATCTATTTTAAGGGTGCCATGTTTATAAAGATTGCCACCGAAACTAAAAGATGAAGGATTTATTTATATTGGTTATAAGATACAGAACTGCATGACTCAGAATCTTATCATTACTCTTGGCGAGTTTGAATTTCGTAATACTTTTATGTATAGCATGAACACTGCTAAGTTATGGCTCCCTCATATACAAAACCTAAGCATTTGTAAGATATATTTCATCAGTAGAATATTTTAAAAATGTTTTCACCTATTAATTTTTGAATTTCAATATAAATATTGAAGTAAAAATATATTTAGGAAGAGTTTTTTCCGTTTTTGTCTGCTTGATTCCAAAACAGAAATTGCATCTGGCTTAGGAAAAGACCTATTGATGCTCTACCAGAATTCTTGGTTTTCAGATATTAATATTTGGATTGATGGAAAACCCTTTGAAGTGCACAGGTAACTGTCTTTAAAGGCTTTGTGGTGACTTTTATGTGTACAGAGGGAGAAGGATGGATTAGACACTGAGACATTTTATACGACTGTGTACTAAAAGTTACTACATCTGTGTAAAGATGAAAAAATTGTGATGTCTTCTAGTTCTGATATGGGTAGTGTTACGGGCAGTGGAAGGTTGCCTCTGGTTTGGACCGGTTCAATAGAATCGGTAGGAAAACTGGCGGGAGGCTCCACCCATTGACCCTGATGTCATCAGAAGCAATCTGCGCATGTGCAGAAGGCACGCGCATGAGCCTGTTGCAAACTGGTAGTAAAGGAAAGTAGAACCCACCCCTGGTTACGGGTAGAGTTATGCTTTCTGCATCTATCCTTGATGCTTGTACAGCCTTTATAAAGATTGAAAAAGTAAAATCAGTTATTGATCCATCAACAATTTAAAATGTCTTGCTTAAAGAGGAAGACAGCTTTGAAGTACAGTTGCTTGAGCCAGGAACTCTTCAGAGCTTTCAAGACACAAAATGTAGAATGTATCATTGCTAATGCATAAGAAAAAATAAGAAACTACACAGATACCTCCAACACCTATTTCTGGATTATTATTTTTTTGTTGATATATCAAGGAACTATTGCAGCCCATGGCATAAATAAGAGACAGGAAAGAAAGCCAAAGTTGTTGAAAAGATAATATATCAAAATGTTGGGTTCTAGATGTTGCATGTTTAAAACTACAGAGAAATATTCACCTTTTTTGCCCATTCCAATAACCTAGAATTTTTGGGAGAACTTTGGCTTACTGTTAATAAGCTAGCATGTTGTTTACTCAATAGCATCTTATTGCCAAGCTAAAATTGAATACCACCATTTTTTTACTTGCTAAGAATAAATCCAGAAAACTGTTTATTGAGTCATAGTGACAGGAAGAAAAGAAGGAGGGATTAAGCTAATGCAAACCTGTCAGTAAACTTACAATAGAATAGGGATGGGATGGGATGGGATGGGATGGGATGGGATGGGATGGGATAGGATAGGATAGAATAGAATAGAATTAGAATAGAATAGAATAGAATAGAATAGAATAGAATAGAATAGAATATTCTTTATTCACCAAATGTCATTAGACACACCAGGAATTTGTCTCCAGTGCATAAGCTCTCAATGCACACAACAACAAAGGGAGGCCATAGATCATAAGTCATACATACAATAATTAATCATAAGATACAAACAACATTAAGCTAGAGTTTATGAAAATTTTGATTTATCATAATGTATGAACCCTTCCAATTATAATTGATGAATACTATTTATGAAAGCAGAGTTGTTGTTTTTCTGAGCTGAAATTGAAAACATCTAAGACTTTAGAAACCAGATAGATATAGTACGATTTTACTGTTGAACCACTGACTCAGAATATTTAAGAACTTGGAGTGCTGCTCAGAATGAAAAAACTAATAATTAAAAATTTATTATATGATGCTGTGCAATGAGGTAATATGGTGGAATAGTTGAGGTTCTTGAGTGAAAGAGCAAATTAAGTATTAAATTAAGAGCTGGCATGCATGAATCCAATCCATTTGGATTTTTAAAAATTCCTCAGATGAAAGTTTGCAGCCAATGAAAACAGAGCTGTATATCTTTTTCAAGAAATCCTTCCACCACCAACACCCCTTCCCAAAATCTTGTTTTAGTAATATGAACCTATAGGAAAATCTCTCTTCATATTTGAAATAGTATTATTGTAAACCACGGCTGTCAAACTTGCAGCCCACGGGCCAGATGCATCACATGCTGGCCACCCCCACCCCCAGTTTAGCAAAGGAGGGAAAGTCACGATACATCACGTGACGACAATGTGACGCCGTGAGTTTGACACCCCTGTTGTAAACCTACTGTCAAAAGAATATATCTTCTCTGGACAAAAACATGAAAGCATTAGTAATCTGTGCCCAAAGGAACTTGAGATTTCCTTTCCCGGGGGCGGGGGGGGGCGGTGTACACTGTAATAAATTTTTTTAACTGGAAGCATTTCAGAGAGTTCTCCTAATTTTTCTTTACCAAATTGGATTAAATGCCAGAGATATTAGAAAGAATTGTAGAGTGAACAAATATACATTAGCATGTCAAGAACATTGAATTTCAATAGTCTGTAGATATTCTTTTAAAATAAATATTTTTATTGAGTAACATAGTTTGTATTTCATTCTCTTTCTCACAGGGCTATTCTTTGTGCCAGATCCAGTTACTTTTCTGCTATGCTGAATGGGAGCTGGGCAGAAAGCTCTCAAGAGCATATCACTCTTCAAGGGTAAGCTGACTTGTTCACAAATCATGTGGGAAAAAGGCAATTTAAAACCACTGCAAATTTTAAGAAGTCAAGCTACTTGTAAAAGAATTCATATTAAGTCTGCTTGATATAGTATTTGATGAATACATTTGAACACGAGTTCTGAGTAAGAATTATCTGTGAATTCGGTCAGCATCTGTTTTGCAGAACTCGTGACTAAAAAAGTAAAAATAGCATGCTGTGCTAGATTGCAGTCTGCTTGGCATTTAATTGCGATTGCATCTTTGTTTTCATTGTTCTTTGTTCCAGTGGCAGATGCAGCAATATTTGTCTATTAACGAGTATAAAGGCTTCTCTGGTTTCAATTTTGGTGGTTTGCTTAACCATCATGGTTGAATAAACCATAGCTGACTAGATTCACAGACTGAATCATACTGTGTGACAGCTTAGAGCACGGGTGTCAAACCCGATTGCGTCACGTGAGGTATCGTGATATTTTTTGCCTTTGCGGAGGCGGGGTGGGTGTGGCCTGCGTGTGATGCATCTGGCCCACAGGCCGCCAGTTTGACACCCCTGGTTTAGAACAATGAGCATAGCAAGTTTTGCAGAACTATATGGGGTCGTGTGAAGAATGGTTAGGTGATGGATTAGGAATGGGAAATCAGAGTTGCTTTTAGAATTTTATGCCTATGTAAAGTTGCCATCCTACATATGTTTTTAATCCAAGAAACTTCATTTGAGTAAGTGGAGTTTAAAGTGTGCATGGCAGGGTCCCCAGTGCCCAAGCCATGGACCAGTACCGATCTGTGGCCTGTTAGGAACCAGGCGCACAGCTGGAGGTGAGCAGCGAGTGAGCGAGCAAAGCTTTATCTATATTTGCAGCCATTCCTCAGTGCTAGAATCACCGCCTCAGCTTTACCTCAGATCATCAGGCATTAGTTTCTTATAAAAGCACGAACCCTTCTCTAAACTGCACATGCGAGGAATCAAAGTTGCACGCTCCTCCCCCCAAGTCTGTGGAAAAATATCTTCCACGAAACTGGTCCTTGGTGTCACAAAGGTTGGCCACTGGTGTGAGGGATTTATTGGATGTAACTGTCAGGATATCAAAAGTTTGCCTGCACTGCTGCTACAGTAGAAATGGCTGGTTTCATGTCATCCTGCTCATTGCAAATTTTTGTGTAATTTTGATAAACACTTGAGAGCAGAGTACATATGGCTCATCCCAAAATAATGAAAATGATATTTAAGAGACCAGCTGTCAAGGCAGCCGTGCTGCTTCTTTTGGCTGTTTTTATTGCTATCTTCTGTTTCCATATACAGTCAGACAACTGTGTTGATTTTGCTATTTAAGTAAAAATAAAGATTTCCCCCCTTTTTCTGGAAGCTCAGACTTAGTGTTTGAAATGGCCATGTGTTACAGGTGTCATAGTTTTTATTATTATGGAAGCCTTACCTTTAAAAAGTAAGAGTAATTTGCAGAATCACAACTGAATCTTGAACAGAAGGGAACAAGGAAAATCTAGAAGAGGTTCTTCTAAAAGGATGCAGGACGATTTGTGAATAGCCATGGCAGAAGTATGTTGCCCACAAAGTTTTCTTGAAAGTTTCCATAAAGAGATGGAAGAAGGGAAGATCAAAATGGAATAATTTTGCAGTCATTTAAACAAGAGCCATGAATTAATATCTGGTTCAGATCTCATGTTATAATGTGCTGTAATATAATCTGCTTTGCTGAATGAACCATAACCAACTGGTTTTATACTACACAAATAATGCACAAACTACAGTAGGGGGAGTCATACCATAATTTAAATCAGAATCAATCCAGATTAGTATGATTTATTAACCCACTTGTCTTCCACTGAAGACAATGGTGAAATACAAGGGTGCCAATGAAATCACAGAATCATTACATGCAAGGGGAAGGGGCCATGCATAACCCTGAAACTCATTGAAGGTTTTTCATAGACCAAAACATGGTATGCTATCATCCACCTGTTTCAGCTGATTGTGTTTCTCTCTGCCCATGAGCTTCTGGAGAAATCTTCACAAAACATTTTACACATTTAGGAAACAGAAAATCTTGTAGAAGATTTTGTTCCAAATACTTCAGGAGTACAAATCTTTTATGTTCAAGAGCTGAATAGCTGAACCTCATGAGCATAAAAATTCTGATAGCACTTCCTTGACTCTTTTATTTATTTATTATTATTTATTAGTTCGATTTATATGCTGCCCTTCTCCGGAGACTCAGGGCGGCTTACAATGCTTTAAGCAATAGCCTTCATACTTTTGTATATACCTGCTTAGTAGGGCTTTTTGGGGGCCCCCTAAGCGGTGTTCTATTTTATACAAAGTCAGCTTATTGCCCCCACAAACTGGGTCCTCATTTTACCTACCTCGAAAGGATAGAAGGCTGAGTCAACCTTGAGCCTGGTGAGATTTGAACTTGCAGTAATTGCAGGCAGCTGGCAGCTAAGTGCTACTTTAACAGCAGTTTTAGTCCGCTGTGCCATCAAGGCTCTTGAAGGCCACCTACCCCATTCAGAAGATATCAGAGTTCTACTGTTAAGTTTTTCAAAACAGAGATCTTTTGGCAGTTTGAGAGACAACCTTACGTAAAATTTTAGTGATGGGGTTCTATCCTGAAGTAGATTTGCATCATAAAAATTATTTTAGTACATTTGTTTTCTGCTTATCATTCCTCAACCAACAATAACCCAGTGAAGAAGGCTGAGGAAGAATGGCTCAAAATCACTCAGTGGCTAAAGTTAGACAAGAACCTGATCTCCCCTAGCCCTTTAATCTTAAGCATCATGTTGGTTCTTGCATAATATGATTAGGTTGCTAGTTTTTGATGCGTTAAATGGGATGTACAAAATGTGAAGACTCTATTATAGTCTTCAGATTCTCTTTCGTGTAACTAATTTTTCTTCTGGTTTTGTAGCATAAGCCATGCAGAAATGACTGTCATTCTGCATTTTATCTACGGAGCAGTTCTGGAGTTCCCTAAAAATGTAAATGCTGGGTATGTGTCAAGTCCTGTTGTTTTTAATAATATTCCATGCCTATTTCCTAAGTCTTAACAAACTGTACTTAAATAGAAGTAGCATCTTAAGAACCAGAAATGAAGTTATAATAGTGCCAGAAATGATTAACCTTGCAATGTAATATGTATTTTAGCACAAGAAAAATAGTATTTGTGTTTTTGAGATAATTATTCTTAGTATTCATATGCTAAGTAGGTATGACACAGATAGAAAATGCTTGCTGGAATGTTTCAATTTATTGCAGCAATTTGCTGAATGGATTCACATAGTGCAGTAAGTTATATTGTAGTTTGTTTGGTTTATGGTTTAATTAAGCAGGCATGCAAACATCCTTACTTCCAGATCCTAGCTACTAGTTAAGGGACTTTAAGCAGAATATATTATTGTATGATTCCTTTGTAAACTCTTTGATATACCATCTCAAGGGTGAATTTTCCCTAATTCCAATCTGTGTGAAATCTAATGATAAACTACAATTAAATAATTAAGATCACTCTTGTCTCTCTTAACCAGACTTTGTTGTAACCAGCTTCAATCTAATTAAGGAACTATATCTAAGTATAAGTCCCAGTGCTTAACCTTACTTTGAGATATTGAAGTCTTGCTTTGGTAATAGGAAGGACTGAGTAAGCTAAGCAACCTGGTACTCTTCAAAGATTTTATATTTCAAATCCTATCAGCACCAGCTAGTTTAGTCAGTGGCAAACAATTGCAGGAAGTATACTTTGATCATTTGGAAGCATTAAGTTTTCTATTCTGGGATAAGGTGAATGTTTCAATAAAAAAGGTGATTATTTTGTGTTATTCCAGCCCAACAGATTAAATAGAAGAAAGATGAGGACTACATCAGGCCAGAGAGGATTTTAACTAGATTTTAACTAGACCTATGAGAAGATAAACTAAATACAGGTAGTCCTCTACTTATGACCACAATTGAGCCCAAAATTTATGTTGATAAATGAGAAATTTGTTGAGTGAATTTTGCCCCTTTTTATGACTTTTCTTGCCACATTTGTTAAGTGAATTACTGCAGTTCTTAAATTAGTAACACGATTGTTAAGTGAATCTAGTTTCCCCATTGACTTTGCTTGTCAGAAGGATGCAAAAGGAGATCACATGACTGCAGGACACTGCAGTTGTCATAAATGTGAGTCAGTTGTCAAGCATCCAAATGTAAACCATGTGACGATGGAGATGCTGCAAAGGTCATAAGTGTGAAGAATGGTCATAACCAGTGGTGGGTTTCAACCAGTGTTACCACCGGTTTGCTTCGCGCATGCAATTTGCGGGTGAGTGCTGCTTCGCTCGTACACACACCAAACTTGCGCTCCACGCAAGCGCATTTCATTTCAGAACAGCTGAGGCGCAGCAATCTGCTCTGGTGCGCCTATCAGCTGGGCTAAAAATGAGCAAATATAGGTAGGTATAGCGCAGGGGTGGGCGGGAGGGCCCAGCGGACAGTCAGGACAAACCGGTTTGCTCTCACCTCACCATCGCCTCTACAGGATCACCCGAACCGGGGAGAACCTGTAGCAACCCATCACTGATCATAACTCACTTTTTTCAGTGCTGTTGTAACTTTGAACTGTCACTAAGCAAACTGGTATAAGTCAAGGACTACCTGTATGTTAGGGATAAACTAGTCAAGCCTTGTCCCAGTCTTCAGCAAACTAGAACATAATACTTTAATAAATATGAAAAATAAGGTTCAACTTGAAAGCAGTAAAATATGTCTAATTTTACTGCACTTTTAAATACTAGTTGCTGGGGGGAGAGCAGTTATTGCCATCATGTTCTGCTTGTAGACATTCCTTAGCCAAAAGCTATGTGACTGAGAAATAGGATGCTGAACTGAATTGTTTTCATCTCCTGTGAATCAATAACATTCTTCTGAATTCTGGCTTTCTTTTTTATATGGTTTATTAAAGACAATATGATTTAATAGTTTATAATCTTTACAATCTTTACCAATATAGCAAGGATTTTTAACTTCTTAAAATTGTTTTTATTTTATTTTCAAAAGCAGGTTACATTAGCAACCTTTTTCAAGGAATTCAAACTGGCTTATACAGAATGGCAATCAGTGTGAAATAAAAAAAAAGAAGCACTATGGATTAGTTTTTAAAATGTATTACTTTTTAAAATACATAACTGTAGATGAATAAATATGGTTTGAATTTTTAGTTACATTTCCATACATACCCCAGCACAGTTGCTTTTAAGGTATCAAGACTTGTCACCTCATGTTTGCAACATGAATTATTAATTTGAATTATTAATTGCTATTGTTGGAATTGAACTTCCCTTAAAAATATTACTTCACCAGGCTTTCAAAAATTAGAATGAATTATGCTTGCCTAGAAGCATTACCATATTATCTTTGCCTAGATGTAAACTATTATGGAACAATTCCATTATGGGCTTCCAGTGACTGTGTTATGATGATTTTATGGTTAATTTTCATTATTGGTTTTACTTTAGATGTATACTAAGCATTGCAGATATGTATGGATTAGACGGTTTAAGAGAAATAGCTATATACATTCTGAAAAGAGATTACTGCAACTTCTTTCAAAAGGTATTTAATTTGTCTGTTTATCTTGATACTGCGTTGATACGAGGTAAATCAAATGTTACAAATTTACTCGTTGGGAATAAAACAGAAACATTTCATTATTTGAATTAGAATTGCCTTAAGCAATATTGAATAAGGAGATTAACTGTTTTCAACAAATGATCATTGCAAGGAATTTTTCATCCAAATGTTAAATTACATTACAGTGTGTAACATTTTGAGAATGTGGTGTGAAGAAGAGTTAGGGGCAGCTGCCAAGCGGGATGGTGCATGTGTGGTTGGTACAGTGCGAGCATGGTTGGAGCATGGGGGTTGGCTGCCGCTGTGTGAGGGAGTTTGCAAGTGACTTAACTGGAGCAACTTGCGATCCTTCCAGCTAGCTTCCCCATTGATTTTGCTTGTGAGTCGCAAGTGAGTTTAGGATGCTACAGCCATCATAAGTACAAGCTGAGTGCCAAACAGTCAGGTTGCAATCATATAGCCACAGGTCTGCTAGGACAGCTAGGATTTTAAGGAACAGTCGTCAGTGTTATTTGTCCAACTTCAAACTAGTGGTTGTGAAACCAGGACTATCTGTACTGCATTAGAATCCTCTACAATATACAGAGGTTTTGTGAGAGATACCTTGCAGTGAATAGTTAAATAAATTTATGTGGAAAGGATTCCCTAGAAGCGGAAAATGTGATAATAATTGCTTTAGATGAAGCTGCAGAAAGAATTGCATGACGTTGACTCCATTGGAATCTAGATATGAACGATACATGAGAGTCAGTTTGGTGTAGTGGTTAAGGTGATGACCTAGAAACCAGGAGTCTGTGGGTTCTAGTCCCACTTTAGGCATGAAAGTTGGGTGGGTGACCTTTGGGCCAATTACTCTATCTCTCAGCTCAACCCACCTTACAGAGTTGTTGTTGTGGGGAGGCAGAAGTATTGGGCATCTTCACCGCCTTGAGTTATCATTAAAGTAATAAAGGTGGGATAAAAATCTAACAAATGAATACTTTCAGCAACAATGCAAACAATGTTTGTGAATTATTGCAAATATTAAATGATAATACTTTCTCTTATATTCTAACAATTATAGCCTGTGCCCGGGAAGCATCAACCTGTTTTAGAGTGCCTGGCTATAGCCCATTCAACAAGAGCAGAGCACCTTTATGATTCATGCATGAAGTAAGTGAGATAAAATATTTGACAGATTTCCATTTTCACAGCTTAATCTTAAACTCAACAGGATAGGGTTACAATTTTTGAAAGCTATTTATATTTTGATGCAATATGTAAACACACCTATAAGCAACCATAAGCTATTGGTAGCTTATGCTAACAGAGATGCATTTCTTATTAAATCTGTTTGATGGGTTTATTTAAATAAGACATTTCCTTTAACAGGTGGCTGATACAAAATTTTGCAAGGAGTTGGTCAGAAAAGAACTTTGCTAATTTATCTTCTGAGCTTCAAAATAATTGCCTTACTACATTGATTGATTCTTTGGTAAGTTTGTGTCGGTTTTCAGTTATTCTTATTAATTGACATTATTATTTTGTTTCTTGGGAAACTGAACTGAATTTGTGGAGTAATTTAATTTATTTTGATTATATACATTTCCTTTCTACTTCAAACTGAGATAATTGGCTGTTATCTCAAAACTGAAATCTAGTGAATAAATCAGTATCGCTCACTATTTCAAATTTTACAGTTCTGTTGCATCTGCTGAAAGGCATTCTAGAAACAAGTTTCCCCCCCCCCCCAATGGGCACACTTGGTTCTTGAACCTTCCAAGTTTCACAATAAACTCCAATTAAATGTAGAGTGGTCCATATCTGTAAATGAAATTTATCTTAATCCCTCCATCCATTGCTTTTTATACAAGTGTTGCTTAATATACAATCACAGTTTGAGCCCAGAATTTATGTTGCTAAGCAAGACAGTTTTGCCCCATTTTACAACCTTTCTTACCACAGTTGTTGGTAAGTGAATCACTGCAGTTGTTAAGTTAGTAACATGGTTGCTAAGTAACTCTGGCTTCCACATTGACATTGCTTGTCAGAGGGTTGCAAAAGGCAATCACATGACCCTGTCATAAATAACCGTCATAAATAATGGGCAGTAGCCAAGCATCCCAAATTTTGATCATGGGACCATGGGGATGCTGCAACAGTTGTAAGTCTGAAAAATGGTCATCGGTCATTTTTTTCAGTGCTGTTTCTAATTTTGAACAATCACTAAACAAATGGTTGGAAGTTGAGGACTACAGTGCAACGACTGAAAATATTTTGGTTATTTCTACATCCTAATGTACTATAATGCAATATGTCAAAGAGGCTGCCAATGAATGAAGAAATAATGCAATTGATTCTAGAAAAGGAAAGAAAGTCTAATTAGATTCAGTTTGGTATAGTGGTTAAGGCACCAGGCTAGAAAGCTGGAGACTGTGAGTTCTAGTCCCACCTTAACCATGAAAGCCATCTGGGTGACTTTGAGCTGATCCATCTTTTTCAGCCCAACTCAACTCACAGGATTGTTGTTGTGGGAAAATAGGAGGAGGAAGGTCTTGGATATGTTCGCCGCCAGGAGTTATTTGTTAAAACAATAAAAGTGGGATATAAATAAAATAAATAAATAAAAATCTGCCCTACACTAATACAATCCAGTATACTTCTTCCTTCCTTTCCAGATCATCCTTGTTTCCAAAAGTCTGTACACCAATTTATATTTTATTTTGTTCTTTAACAAAATAAAATTTTGTTCTTTCCCACTTCTCTCTCAACCCTTCTATCCATTTTTTTTTAATTTTAGTCTTCTCTTTCTTCTCAACTTGTCTATTCTTCTTTCCGTTATTTGTTTCCAATTTATCCTAATTCATTTTGTCTAAAGTAGATAATCAAAGCATCCCAACCCACATTTTTCTACTGACCACTCATTCTTCCATTCGGTCTACATTCATTCCATACTCATTCATTTTTACGCTTTCTATCTTTCTCTCTCTTTTTCCTTCCTTCCTTGTTTTAGCAGGCACCCTTCTTTAGTATAGCAGTCTCATTCATAAAGATATTTTCCACCTCTGTAAAATCAAAATGAACAGAAATACATTCTTGCATACTGCATTTTTCACTTCTTTGGATAAACATCCCTTAGAAAAAGCCACACAGTACCCACTATCTTGTCTTAATTTTTTTCAATTGTTCAGACTGTTTCCCCTGTCAAACAGACTTATCCTGGATTTGATACACTAATTTTCAGAGTCATAAACCTCATTATACTATACAATCTAATGTTTGTTGCATATCTGTGACTTCTTGCTGATTGTCAAATCATTTTCTAAGCTTTCCATTTATTCTCACAAACACTTTCCTTCCTATTGGAATGTGTGAATTACATTTACCTATAATTAATGTGAGAAGAATTAATTTGCTAATGCTATGGTGTAATGTGTACATGTAGAATTGTATTTAATTTTTGCTCAGAATATGTGTATTTTTTTTTTTCTTATAAGAGCCCACAGAATGCAGCCCGTCTTTTGATGGAAACCAACAGGCTACTTAATAGTCTTCCCCAAGTGAAATGGACTGAAACAGCTCGAACGTTGGCATTTAGACTGCAGGAAAAGTGTATGGCATTTATGGTGACCAATTTTCCAGAAATAATACAGAGTGAAAGCTTTTTAGCTCTCTTACAGGTAAAATACACCTAATTTATACAGTAGCATTACAAAGACTAGTGGGCTGACTGGGGAATTCTGGGAGTTGAAGACCAGACATCTTAAAAGTAGCAAAGGTTGAAAAAGGTTGCCCTAGACCAAATTATAGGTTTTATCTTGCTTGTTCATGTTTGACAGGTACACTTTCCAAATTAGAGTAAATATTCCATGTCATGATGCCCTAAAAAGAAATTTGAACACATTGTACTGATATAAGTATGTTGGTGAAAATTGTACTTTTCCAGGTTTTTCTAACTTTCATATACCACATACCATGAGACAATCCAACTTTCCCATTTTTACGGCACATTGTTTATTGCCAACAAGTTGCCCCGGGAAGCCTGCTAGCTTAAAACATAGCAATTACTCTCCAGAGAAATCTTCCCTAATCTGATGCCTTCCAGAACTGTGGAACAGTAATTCCCATAATGGCCATAAGGGCATCATTGGGGAAGGCAGCTTCAAGACTTACAGTATTAGCAGTTGCAGTAAACAATATCATGTTAAGTAGAACAGTCGTTTGATTTTTTTCAATATGAGATTCTACTCATTTTTTAAGTGGCAATAGATAGGAAGAAAGCAAAAAGTCTGTATTATTTCTGATAGACTAACCAGGGGATGCAATGTTTAGGCTGCAATTCTGTATTCACTTATCTGAGAATAACTCCTTTTCAGTTTGGTGTAATTAATTCTGAATACATGCTCCTAAGAATGTTTTATTAGTCATTCATCATCGGATTAACACAATAATGAAATAAGAATTTGTATCCTATTGTAATTTTAATGTGATTTTATATATTTATTCATATATTTATGGTTTCATTTTAATGTTGTAAGCCTCCCAGAGACATCTTACGGTGAGATGGGTGGCAAATAAACATAATAAATCAATCAGTAAAAAGAAAATGAAAATAATCAAGGAGAGTTTGCCAAAGTAAGATACAAGTATATAGTTTAAGCTTGGCCCATGTATTCTAGCATATTAGTATTTGTGTGAAGAACAAGCATACAAAGGATCCATGAACATAAAGACAAGCACATGTCCCACACGTGTCCTCTTTTTAGATTCACCACCAAAGTGCATTGTTCGGTTTTGGTTTCAGCTGATCTGGTTTTTCTGATCATATCTTCCAGGCTCAGGCCATGAGCAGCAAACCTGATCTTCTTGATCAAGTGCTTGAAGCAGTCAAAAAAGATGTTACTATTGAAAATAGCTGTTGCCTTCTTATAGCAGTGGACGCTTTGCTAAGTTCTTCAAATGTGAATGAGATGGTAGGTTTTAAAAATTAACAGAAACAGGATTTCAGTTGTTGTTGTTTTTATTAGAACCATTCAAGCCAAAGTTTAAGGGCAGAAGTTGTACCAAGGTTGTCTACAGCATGAATAGGTGATATAAAATAATCTCTCTCTCTCCCTCCCTCCCTCTCTCTGCCTAGTCACAATAGCTGTCTTTAAAGTAAGGCATTTCAGAAGATCAGCATAGATCATCAAGTGGAAATGGAAATGGTTTCTTATACCTCCATTTTGGGAGATGGTGACAGAACCAGTCAGGAGGCAAAACAATTCTTTAAGTTGAAAGGCTTTATTAGAAAACACTACAAAATAAAGATTTGAATCCAAAATTGAAGTTATATAATAATATTTTGTTTGTTTGTTTTATCCTTCACATTTCTAAACCACCCATCTCCCTCACAATTTTATGTATTTGCCTTATTTTTTTCCTAATATTACTATAACTTTTCCTAAAACTGTCTTCCTATATCATCTTATAATCTACCTGATATGACTTATGTTACTTATATTTTAGATATAACTATTTTAATCCTACACTCTTTACTTGAGATTTGTTTCTCTTATTGTTCCATATTTTATGCCCTTGTATGTAATGTTTCAAGTTCTATCCTAGATGGTCCTCACCAAAGCCTCTAGCAAGATATAGGCATTTTCTTGTTCACACTTCCCATGTAACAATCCTTTTCCAGCTGCTTTCTCTAACTGATCTTCTGGTCTGACACAGAGGGTTACTTCACTACTCTTCCTTTGGACTGAAATTTGGTGTGTTACTTGGTGATGGGAGCTGGCATCATTGCCACATCCTTGCTACAGCATATTTTTTAGTGATATGGATGGTGATCCCTTGTCAAAGCTTTGCTTCACTCTTGTGCCTGAGGGAAAAACACTTCCATGATGAGTGCTTATCAGGGCTGAGGAGCTCAAGTGCCTGTGCCTGGGCCACATATAGCTGCCATTCCTGGGCCACATCCAATTACCAACAGTAAATCTGTTCAGGACTTGCCACTGTGAAGAACTCATTAAGGGGCCAATGTTTGTGGTGCTTCAGCTTTACCAGAGCCTGGGCTGTGGCTTGATCTAAGGAGGTTTACATTTCAGATTGTGCTGTCCACCTATTCTTCTCTCTAGTCCTGCAGTTCTCCTCATTCATTGCTCTTTCCTTAATTCTCCTTCACTCTTTGTTCCTCCATGCTTCGTCTTCATAACACTATGATTTCACTTTAGCCTGACCCTTCTGGAAGAGCTGTCACATTGAAAAAAATAAGGGTGGGATCCTTAAAAGGAAACTGAGGAGCTCAAACTCTTAGAAGCATTAACCTGGATACCTTCGAGACCGACTTCTGCCACCAGTAGCCTCCCACCGGCCAATTCACTCCCACGGAGAGGGACTCCTCAGGGTGCCATCGGCCAAGTTATGTCAGCTGGCAAAACCCAGGGGAAGGGCCTTCTCTGTGGGAGTTTCTGCCATGTGGAACGAACTGCCCCTGGAAATACGCAAGATCTCCGACCTCCGTGTGTTTCACTGTGCCCTTAAGACCCTGGTGTTCCGCCAGGCAGGGCTATCTATGTAAATGATTTTAAATTGGTGTTTTAAATTTTGCGTTTTAAGTTCGGGCCGAAATTGTTTAATACTTTTAATTATTTTAAAACTGTTGTTGTATCTTGTGTTTTTAATTGGCTGTACACCGCCCCGAGTCCTTTGGGAGAAGGGCGGTATATAAATTAAATAAATAAATAAATAAATAAATAAATGAATGAATGAATGAATGAATGAATGAATGAATGAATGAATGAATGAAATTAAAAGTTAAAACTAATACTCATGTGCTTCCGAACCCTATTTTAATTACCAAAGTACAATGAAAAATCATCTGGCTGCCCCTAACAATTGGAATTTGTAAAATAGGAGACCTCCTTTTGCTGCTTAAACTCATCATCCTAAATATAGTCCTGAAGATAGCTGATATCATTAGCGCTTGCATTTGGATTTAAGCAAGCTTGCTTATACATCTGTCTTCATGTGCTTTTTTAAAAAAATAAAATGGGATTAATTCGCTCTAAATCAGAGGAATTGATGTTTTCATCCTGTCTCCCCCTTTTGCTGTAATCTCTTTAAATGTATGTGTACAAAAGGCTTTATGTTATAGAAGTGCAGCTTCAAAATGTGGGAGGTGAAAGATGTGAGCTATCAATAACTCAATGGATATGCTATAAAATTAGAGTTGAGAATCATAGTCGATAGATAGTAGGAGATTAAATAGGACATTGATCAGGCCAGTGGGAGCCTTTCTTTCTATTAAATTATATTCTAGTGATGGCACTGCTTTTATCTCCGAAGAGCAATCAGCAATATAAAAAATAAGGAATTATTATTCAGCGAATTGCTCGTTCTCTTGGTTTCATATTCTGGAAACTGAATATTTGTGATAATTATTTTTCAGCAGTGGAAACAAAGATTTTTAGGGGCTTTGTACTGAAAAATATATATTTACAAAACTTTATTGCCTTTATGAAATTACCGTATTTTTGCAGCTTGAGGCTTTTTCTATCAATAGGGACCCACTGGACAGGTGGCATATTTTAAAATAATTATAATAATTTTATTATTATATATATATACATATATAGTATTGCTTCATACTGTTGCAGATTTCTTCTGTTGTTGACTAATTTAGCAGGAGTGAAAATTTAACCAGATGCTTTATGGGGCCGTAGAGGATTTGACCTTGTAGTGACAAAGCCAAGGGTACAAAGCTATAAAGAGATTTGTGTGTAAAATTGGAAGAGTGGGGAGAGAGAAGTAGGTAGGTTTGATATTTTTTGAGCTTCAGCATCTGTGGGAGTGGCTTGGTTTCAAGCAGAGCAAAATTATGATGCAGGACAATTGGCTTCTGCAAAGCTCGACATCTGTTCAGCAATCGTAATATCTAAGTGATTGCTAAGCGATTAATATCTAAGCCAGTTGAAGGAGCAAGTACCTTCTATAGGGAGTAATGACTGGTTGCTATGACAACAAGGTTTTTTCCCAGCTGCTGATTTTTTTTTTTCATAGGGGTTTCTGTGCAGGATCCAGGCTCTGCGTGATAAACTGTGGATCTTTCTGCTCCAGTCATTTTTTGCCGTTCGACATACAGAGGGCTGGAAACTGCTTAAGGCAGCTGATCAGGAGCGAATACAAGCAGGTAGGCAAGCTATAGCTGGAGCTGAGCGCTTTGCATGACAGCTGAGCCTTTATTATAGAGAAGTCATGGGAGCTGGTAATTAATGTTAACTGGAAAGACATGTTGATGAGCCTTCTGCTTCCCGATTATTATGTAAGGATTGTGAAAAATAAACAGACCGCTTCAAGTATGGAAGCCAAGCTGATTGCACCTCCCTATTGTGAACGAACATTATTATGCAGCTATATGGAAGCCTTATAAATAGGTAGGCTGTCTTTTTCTTTGCGTTTAGAATGATTAAAAGTAATTCATTAGGATGGTTAAGCACATAGGAATTATAGAATTTTATATGTTTATTTCATGATTGAAGTAGTTGGGGTGGTGGTTAATGTATGTTCTATGCCTTGCTTAGCAGCCAATCTCATTTGTGTCTAAAATGAAGGGTCCATTGAATTCGTGATTGATATGATGCTATGATTCTGTCTGACTGCTGCAGAAGATTCATCAAAGAAGCTGCAGAGTGGCCTTTAAACATTTAAGCAGCACAATTTGAAGCTAAACAAAAGAAGTCTTGCTCTGCTCTCCTCCCACTTCTCTCTTCTAACCCCCTCACTCCCCCCCCCCGTCCTTTGTTTTCAAATGTATAGAATAAAATCTTGCAGATGAAATAATTGAAAATGGCTTCAGGGCATCCCTGAATATGTTTGTTGTTGTCACGTAATTTCTTTAGTATGGTGAAGTAGATACATGCTCAGGATTATAGCTTACTGTAAAGAATTTCTGTAGCAAAACATAAAATGGCAATGTAGTATAAATGAATCATTTTCTTGTGATTCTTATCACAATATCCAGCATTGTAAAGTGTAAATGTAAAGTGTTATTTACGAGCTTTGTGTTTTAAGCTTTTTTTCCCCTGGAAATCGAAATCAGATCAGTCATGTCCAAAAATGCAATTTTATTGGGTTGTTAGATGATGTCATTCTAAATAATGCTAATATATACATATAAACCCATGCATAAATTTTGACTAGAATTCCTATCTTCCCCTGATATGAATAATTAAAGTATACTGTGATAAATTTGGGAAACCCAAACTGCAGCTGTGATAACTATCCAATTGATTTGTTGCTTTAAAAGGTCTGTAGCATTAATTACTGCAGGTTGATTACAATATCCAGAGAGATTTTTAAAAATTCCGTTTTGTGTAATTGCATGCCTGTTTTGTACTATCAGAGCTATTTTTCTATGTGAGCTATTGGAATGGGTTCATAAACTTTTAAAGAAGCATGTAATTTAAAAATATACCATTTAGGGATTACTTCGGATTCCTTTTCAGTGCCCATATATTAAAAAAGGAATATTAGGAAGCTTAAATGCTGCCTCCAACACTACTTGGTGCATGGTATTGGTTCCCAATAGGACATGTTTTTTAATTTATATTTTATGCAGCATATGCAACATACACTCTTATTCCCTTAAGAAAATAAAAAAGCCACCCAGGTGCCATTTTCAGCCTCATGCCTTCTCTTAGGAAACCAGAGGTTCACTGCAGGGTGGGAATGCAGCTGACTCTTACAGGTTTTATATTCATAAAATATATAAGTAATAGTTGCAGGCAATGATAAATAGGTTGGTAGAACTGTATGCTTTGTAGAATTCTTTGAGATAGATAAAATTAGATTTTGGCAAAGGATGTTATATATACAGTATATTTCTCAATCTGCATTTTTCTAGTATAGGTTATGTAAACTGTAGCATTGCAGAAATTTAATTTGTGTAATATCTGTGGAGATTCTCAGTCATCCAGGTCATGATTGTCTTAAAGGTGCTTTTTTTGTTGAAAAGGCAACTGGACTTCTTCTTTGAGGAAGAAGAAGAAGAAAACATTTCGCTTCTCATCCAAGAAGCTTCATCCATTCTGATCAGTTCTGATTTTGGGTGCCTTCTCAGTTTCAATCAATTTCCCTTTGAAAATTTCATATATTATACTGACTAACTGAAGACTGGTCTTTGCTAACCAACAGTATTTCATTTTCAGTTATGTTTAAAAGCATAGGTAATTTTATTGCATATTACTGTATCAATATAAGAGGAAAGCTTTCTGTTTTAAATTAATAACATGAGATAAGTTGGCAATATGCAATAAAGTTTGTATGTGGAAAGAGCAGGGATCTACATTATTTAAAGACATACAGATCAAAACAATTATTATTATGGTTGGTTGCACAATAAGCCAAATGTTTAGACTGGCATTTTTATCCACCTGTTCAATCATTCCCAAACCTTGGGATAGGCAGAATTTATTTGATGGTTTAAAAGATATTGTTTGCAGGATATAAGTTGTTCCAAGTAAAGCTGCCTTTTGCAATTGACTGATGATGATTTTGTCAATGTTGATGGTGTTCAAGTGGTGTTCCAGATGTTTTGGAACTGCACCCAAGGCATCTATTACTATTGATACTCTTCTCTTTGTTTCAGTTTGCTAGTCATTCAACTTCTATTTTGTAATTATTTTTCTATTTTGTGATTTTCTCCAGTTCTTTCTCTTATATTTCTCTTCTGCTGTTTCCAGGTACTTCGATGTCCACTAACTAGGATTTTTTCTTTCTTATAAACTATTTTGAAATGATTATAAAATAATATAATTATACATATGGATTTGGCATTTTTATCCACCCATTAAGTCCTTCCCAAGAACCTAGCATAGGTGGATGTCATTATTTGGTGGTGTTTATTCAGGGGTGGGTTCTACTTACCTTTACTACTGGTTCGCAGCGGGACCATGTGCATGTGCTTGCTTCGCGCTTGCGTACGTGCTTTTACACATGTACATATCACTCATGATGACGTCGTGGCGGGTGAGCAGAGCCTGCAGTCGGTTTTACTACCGGTTCTATAGAACCGGACCAGACTGGAGCAACCCACCACTGTGTTTATTATTCTTATTGTTGTAATCTCCAGATTTGGAATGATTTGTTTCTTATTAATTTGCACTTTAAAAAGTGTATGTGCCCTTCTTCTGCTGAAGAATAATATTCTTAAAGCTTTGTTTTCATTTCATCACTTTTCTCTAAATATGTCCTAAAAAAAGATGTCCTTTTCTTATACAGCTGCTGTTGACAAAGGAGATGACAGAAGACCTACCAAAAAGCCCATTTTCAGTAGTTCTCAGGTAAAAAAAAAACCCTCACAATTTTACAAGATATTCACATTTCTATACATAAGCATTTGTATATGTTTTTCAAACATGATATGTGATTATTTGGGGAGTTGGGCATGGCTTTAAGGCGCACATAATTATTGTGTAACTTTAACAAGCAAATATCCATCTATTGACTTCCCTGCGCAGAGAGATGTTTCTTTGAAAGATGTTGAGATGCAAGCTCACAATATATCAGACAGCAGTAATTTATAGCATCTCTTTTCCTGCATCTCCAGGCTACTGCTGAGTAAAAACCTACTTTCTCAGTTGCAGAGCAAATGGTATGCTAGCTAGCAAATAGAGCTTATTCCCTTCATTCATGCCATTACTTACCTGTGATGTCATCCATCTTTTGAGAGATATTCTTGCAAGGGAATCTAACTCAATATATGCATAAGGAGACAGGGGAAAATATACTCAGCTATATATTTGATTACATTTGTTAATATTTTAATTTAGAACAGTAATATTTGGTAAATGAGGGTGACCTGAAGCTGGTGCTTTATTTTGAGGTCAGGGGATTCCACCTGTTCCTTTCAAAAACATTCATGTTGATAGTGCACTAGTATCCCTTCAGTGGTCTTTTGCATTTTAGACATGGAATTATTGTATAGTTTCTTCTAGCAGGAATGGCGAATTTGTGTCTTCCAAATGTGGTTGAACAGAGTCCCGCATAATCTTTCATCATTAGCCAGGCTAACTGGAAGAGCTGGAATCTGTAATTCAACAGCATCCAGAGGACTTCATGTTCTTCCTTTTGAACCTAGGAGACAGAAAAAGAAAAATACATTTCAACATTGAAAACAGACTCCAGATTTAAATACGGAATTCTTGATATCAATTTACTTTCCGTTTATGAACCAGTTCTCTACTGAGAACTCTAATGGAAAGACTGATTAGTTGTGTTTTTGTAGTCAAAGTTTATTTTAAAATTGGGCTGAATGAATTTTTATATGTTATAATATATAGTATTATATATTGTAAATTTTTGCAAAAAAAATATTGCATATTAAAGCAATACAGAATTTTAGAATATACTATGATTACAATTCATACTGAAATGTATAAATTATTTTTTTTTATGGCAAGTAACAGTGATCCTCCCAGACTTTTGATCATTTATTATATTTTTCTCCTCCCTTCTCCTTCAGTTAAACCGATGCTTTGGTGGTACTTGTGCTCTAAAACAGACTGCTCGGGAAGGAAGTAAAAAGGAAAACTCTTGCGGTGATCCCTCTGCTAATCAGGATAAAATGAAATCTGATGCATTAGGAGCATCTGGACACACCTCAGCTACCAATCGGAATAGCAATAATAAAGCTTTGAAGCATGATGATTTAAAGGGGAAAGACAGCAAAAAAGCAGTTTGTAAGCTGATGAAGGAATCCAAAATAGGAGAGAAAATGCCTTCACCGAAGGCTAGAGCTATTATAAAGCCCAAAGCTGAAAATAATGGAAATACTAAAAATGAAACACTGTTGGCCAAACAAGATTCTGACCGATCATTACCGTCTAGCGGTCACAAAAATGCAGGAAGCAGCAAAACGTCAAAAAACCAAGAAGGTAAAATGACAGGTGCCCGCCCCAAAGTATTTGCAGGAATCTCAAATGTACAAGTTAAAGCAAAACCTGTGAAGAAGGCAGTTGGAAAGGAATCTCCTTCTCTCGTGAGCACAGATACTCTAAGCAAATCAACCAATTCAAGTCCAGATCTGCGGATGTCCATTGAAAAAGATGACCTCAAAGAGGAAAAAGAAGATGAGAGCAAAAAGCAGTCAGGTAATAATCAGAGAGTCCCTTTTAATTTGCTGCAGAGTTCATACCCTGAAATTTTTTTATTATTATTACTCTATGAAGAGGTTTTAATTATCGTGATTGTTTTTTATGTTTAATTCACAAGTATGAAATAAAAATGGCAATGGTAAATATAGATGGGCTCTTAGGAAATATCTTTCAGACATATTGGAAGCTGCATGAACATACTTTTAAATACGTTAAAATATTTTTTTATTTTTTTCTTGGTATATCAATCAAATGAATAATATGAGGATTTTTTTAAAAAAAATGTTAAGCATTAGATATTATTAAACAGGAATAACTTCAATGCTTGAAGGATTTTTGGATAATCAGTGTTTGTAACATGAATAGGAAAAGGGTTAAAGCTTGTTCGTACACGTTTATACAAGATGTATATGGTCCTCCAGAGTCCCATATCTTGACATGGATGGCAGTTTATTAAATAAATAAGAGTGTACACATGCAAACTCTTTTACGCACACACACACACACACATACACATATGCTAAAATACATACACTTTTAGCAAATGCTCATTGCTTTCTGAATTCTGTTTTTTATTATTTATTATACAGCTTTGAAAACAAAATCTGGTACGAAGATGACTAATGGAGCCCTTTCCAAAAAACATGTTAATGAACTTGAGGCTAATAGTCCTACGAACAGGTACGTTAAAAAGGACATTATAAATCCCTACTGAAAATAAATTTCATCAAGTTTACCTAGTGGAAACATGTGTTTGATTCCGAATTTTATGTTTCATCATGTTTAAACTAAAAAAAATGATAACACTCTTTATATATAGCCAGAGCACAAAATCAATGGCTTTATGGATCCTCTCTTTAAATGCAGATTTATGAACTCTTTTCTTGTTTATCATTTAAAAATATAAAGGCTGCTGAGCTCTCTCAAAATTTAGTTAGCCATTTGGTTAGGGACTACAGTTTGACAATAATTGGAGGGCCACAATTTCCCAGCTTTATTCAAGTCTTTAAACTTGCAAATAAAACAAAGTGTCTGATAATTTCAGTGTTACAAAGAAATGTACTGGGAAAGGCAACAATGAACACATACCACAAGCAGTTGTGAAGAAAAGGGCAAATGAAGCTGGCAATTCTGTACCTCAGCAGAAGACAAAGAATATAGCTAATGCTACAAAAAATCAAGGTAAATTTAAGTTGACTATGATTTGACTGTGTTTTCTATTTTGGAAATTTTGTTCACAGTGGTCTAACAACTGAATGGACAATGTTATGTATATTTTGTATGCATGAAGTTCTTAGTTAAGAACTAAGGGGATCCATTCCAAGGTAGCAGGTCATTGTATTGGAACCTATTAAAAAGTTGAGGAGATTGTGACTGTGTGACACAATGGATATTCTTTAAAAAATAGCAGTGTGATTCCATGACAACTGCATTCTGTGCAGCAAAGCATAATAATTATGGATACAGTCATAGTAGTATTTTCTCAAGTCTGTAAGAATGTATATTTCATCACAGAGGAGGTTAAGTGCCCAACCAATAAATAAGAGAAAAGTTTAACATAAAACCTATTCATGTAAAAATTATAATGTATTTTTACATATTTTTTTAAAAAAATGTATTTTAATGTGACAACTGTACTACTTGAATTACTAATTTAATTTCAAACATCTGTTCAGTCGTTCGGCTTCTTGAAAGATTATTTGGGAATCAAATCAAAAGTGCTGGGCCGAAGCAAATTCCATTTTTTCTCTCTTGCTCCCAATATCCTGCTGCCTTAAATGCATTCTACTCTCCTTTGTCCCTAAAATGCCATTGCTGGTCATCTCGTGGTGCGAGATGATTTAGCCCAGGGGTTCCCATTGCAGACATCATCTGGCATCTGGCATACTTTACCTTCTCATATTCATCCCCTCTGTATGTTTTCTATTCTTACAAACTCATTGATAAAAGGAAACTATTGAAACAATAGCTTTTAGCCCTGGTGGCTTTTCAACTGGAATCTTTATATTAGGATTCATAAAGCAAAGTGTATATTGTTCAAACAAGATAATTATTAATCATGCCTATACTTTGGTCCAGTGCCTGCTAATTCTTTTGAATATGAAATATTGATTTGCTTTGTCTGTTTGAATATCCTTTTTTTCCTGGACTTTGTCTCTTTTCCCCCTTTTGGGAGGGGGAATATAAAATATTACTGTTTTAGCCCACTGATAATTTATTGGTTCTTTTGATATATGGGTTGTCTTAATAATAAACTTTGCTGAATGGAATGTAACATAAGTCTAATATGTTGCCTTTTAGGTCTACAGGGAGATTTGTCAAATCCACTTAAGGCTGCTCTTTCTCCAAAACAGAATGAAGAGAATGGTATGACACAAGATATGACACTAACTTCAATGAAGAAAAAAGCTAAATCTTCACAAGCAACCTCAGTTAAAGCTACTGCAAAAATAGTAACACCCAAAACCCAAACTCATTCAAAGAAGACTGAAATGACAAACAATAAGGAACAAAAACAGAAAACAGTTAGTGTTCTAAGACTTCCATCAGGCCAGAAGCCTCCCAGAAGCGAATCATCACTTCCAAAGAATGTACATGGGGAAGAGCAAAAAAATTCAAACCTTAAACTTGAACACCCTACTTTGGAAGATCAACCATGTGTTAATCACAAATTCAATCCAGAGGACAAAAATGATAGTGGAACATCTTTACCTGAATTACAAAGGCAGAATATACCTATTTTGGAAAAAAATATTCCTCTTGAAGAAATGGCTTGCAAGAGAGATTTAGGACCTTCTTGCATGTCAGAGCAGAACATGTCAATGAAGCACGATGAGGCAGCCGAACAAATTCATAAAAATGAGGATGCTAAATCTCCCATAAATAAAAAGATGGAGCAATGTACCCTTGAATTGCATCCTATTCAATGTCATGAGAGTATTGCATGTGGAAACATTAACCAAAATGCTACACATTTGACTTTAAATGAAATGGAAAAATCCAAAACACTTCCGGAGTCTGTTGCTTGCCAGAATTCCTTAGAAACTTTAAGAAAAAATGAGAACCATTTGGTACAAGAAAAATCAGTTGTCTCTTTTGATACCTTGGAAGCCGAAAAGGATATTAGCCAGCTGAATGGCTTATCACACAGGCTATCTGATGGTTCAAACTCTGAACAGGAAGAGAAAAAATCCTCTACTTTTAAAACCTTTGTGATAGATTCTGAAAGTGCTGATGAACTGTCTGATAAATCTGCCTTGACTGACTCACAGTTGGCTACAGTGGAATCAGAGCCTGCTTCAAAATCTTACATAGAGCAAGCGGCAGAAAAATGCTCGTCTAAAGATACTGACACTACAGAAACTCCAGAAAGTCATGAAAATTCAGAAGCTCCATTTACCGATCAATGGAATATAAGTTCCAGTGCACTTGATCCAAAAGAAAGCCCTGAGTCAGATACTGGCAGTGCAACAACATCATCAGATGATATAAAGCCAAGATCAGAAGATTATGACGCAGGGGGATCTCAGGATGATGAAGGATCAAATGAAAGGGGAATTTCAAAATGCAGCACCATGCTATGCCATGATTTCCTTGGCAGAAGCAGTAGTGATACAAGTACACCTGAAGAACTAAAAATCTATGATACAAGTCTAAGAATAGAAGTAAAGATGAAAAAAGAAAACTCTGAACTCTTTCGGGTAATATCAACAAGTGATGAGGAACTTCCTAGAAAAAAGCCTGAAACAACATGGTTACGTCAGGGTGGAGAAAGACAAAGTGGATCCAGTGGTGGTAATACTAATTTTGCCACCACTCAATTTCCTCAAGAAGCTGATCAGGTCTCTTCTTCAGCGGATGAGACAGAGGAGGAAAAGTCTGAAAATGAAAACGCTGTAGACAAAATGCCTCCACCAGAAGTTCCTATTCAGCAGTTCCATGGGATAGTGAATCTAGCATTTGATGATGCAACAGAAAATGATATTGAAAGTCAAGAATTCTCTGCCACTAAAAATTTTAAGCGCTCCGTATTACTATCGGTGGATGAATGTGAAGAACTGGGATCTGATGATGGTGTAGAGATTCATACTCCTCTGCAATGTACTCTGGATGCTGCAACACCTTCTGATGTGTTTGATAGTGTTTCCCATGAGCATCACAGCAAAACGTTTTATTCAAGATACTCACTGGAGATTGAGGATGGGTTCCTGGATTGTAAGGGAGATGACAAAGAAAAGTTGCCCAAAAATGAAAAGCCCTCTATAGATCCTCACGACAATGATCAAACCATAAAAGATACTCTAGCTACTTCAGTTACAGAGCAAACATGTATGGAGAGAGCTGAGAAAATAGGGGACAGCCAACTTTCTGCAGAAGTCAAGTGTGAAGGAAGTAATGGCTTTCAGTGCAATAAACTTTCAGACAATGACACAAAAACTCAAGGAAGACCTTGTCACTTGGATCTTCATCAACATGATAATACTGACTTACAGAAGAACAGCTCTACAAAACCTGTTGATCCTTATAAGATTCACTTCCTGACTCAAGAAGGTAACATGAAAGAGTCAGCATCCCCTGAATACACTGACACTGCTTTACTTGCAGGTAATGTACAGAAATAAAAAAAAAAATTGTTAAATTCGTTGAAATATTAAGTATTAATGGAATATTAGAGTTTATGCTGGGACTGAGTTTCAATTCTAGTAAATCCCTTGGGAATTTTATGCAGACTCCTATACCATTCATATTCTGAATAGTCAAGAATATGTTGTAGCTTGCAGTTCCTGTGGGTAGTTGATAATGTAATCTTGGATAAAATAAAGAGCAGGCTGCGGTTCTATTCTTGAGCCTATTTTTTTTTTCAGAAGGACATTAGCAGCTCATATATCCATTTGTTTGAAAAACTATATGATTCATAAATATACATACATACATATATATATATATAATCTATTAAAGTGGGATGTGCAATAAATTTGTTAAGCTAAAGTGTTCCGCATTGTTAAGCTGAATAGATATATTGATTACTACAGTTTCTGTTTTGCACAAAGTTGGGGATTAGTCTTGTACTGTTGTAATCAGTGGGGCTTTAACATTGACTTCAGAGGAAGCTAGTCTGCAACCTGAAATACTTTCAGGATATTCTTAAATTATGCTAGCTAGGAGAACATTTTTTAAGAAAGAGAAAGATTATGCTTTAGAAACCAACAAATATATCTAAATGTACTATGCTTGCTTCATATAGTTAGGTAACTTCTTGTCTAGTTTTATGTTTCTTAAAACAAGAATTCAGCTCAATATTCCAATACACAAAGTGCACCTGAATGTTTTTTTTTTAAATTTCCGTGTATCAAAACATTTAAAACAATTTGTGTTCTGAATGATATAATCGATCAAGTTGTAACTCTTCTTTTTGTTTGCTTGCTTGTTCTTGCTTGCAGCTATCCTTTGCATGTACAGTATACTACTTTAAGTATAAGCTTATGGGAGCAGGGGAAATATTTGTTTTTGTCACCTTTGAAGATGACTTGGCTGAAGTCATTGTTCTCAGTGAACATGTCTTCCTCCTCTTTCCTTTCTTCTTTTCTTTTGTTCCACTTTCCTCTTTATACTCTATTTCTTCCTATTTTAAGTTGCAGCTTTAGTGGTTTAGAAATCCATGTGCATTAAATGTTGGTTTACACGACTTACCTCTTTCTGTATTAGAATTTTTTCTAATTCTGAAGGTACAGTATATTGTTAATTGCCAATGGTAACTTTATGTATAAGCCATATTTTGTTTCATTAACTTTTTTAAAAATACATAACTTAAAAGCTACAATCTTTTGTGAACTTTGTATGCAGTTACATTTTCTTCTTACTTCTTATTTGATTGTAATTGTCCTCCTGCACTGAATTAAGTAATCTGTACAGAAACACTACAAAGAAAGTCAAAACTTGTACAATTTTTACAATGTGTAGTATTATGAATTATTTCAGGAGACATAGATGATTGTGACAGATTGACACAAACCTGCATGTATGAGCATCGGCTTCCAAAAACCCTTTCTCCAATATACGAGATGGATGTTGGAGAAGCTTTTGAGCAGAGCATGGAGTCTGAAGTGAATTTTCTAGATATGGATTTTGAAGACCAACAGTTTGCCGAACAGGACTGGACTCTTCTCAGGCAATTGCTATCTGACCAGGAATCAAACTTGGACATCAAAAATTCTGTTCCCGAAGACCTTAACTTAGCACAGTATCTCATCAACCAAACACTATTTCTGGCACGAGACACTTCACAACCTCAGGGTAAAGCACAGTTTGACACTTTCAGTAAGTGGACTGAATTAATATCTCCACTGGATGATTCTTCAGCAAGTATCACAGTGGCAAGTTTTTCTTCAGAAGATTGTTCTTCCCCACATGGGGAGTGGACAATTCTTGAACTGGAAACCCATCATTAAGGTATCTGTTTGATACAGGACTCCTTCTCTCTTTTTCTCTCCCTCCCTCTGCAAGTAAATATTTTGCAATATTTCCATATGATAACTATTATATTGGTCAAGCATGAACAATCCAATTCTAAGTAAAATTTATTTGCAGGTAAAATCATTTAAGTGGATGTTTCTAAAAAGCATTTGCAGCCAATGGTTTCTTTTTTGGTTTCTTTTTCTTGACTTCTTAGGAAGAATTCTGTCTGGAAAAAACCTTTGGCTTAGTGTATTCTTACTTATCACTTAGTCATACCTTCCTGGATGTTCAATGAATTAAAATAGGAATGCAAAAAAAAGTTGTGCTACCAATTTTTTCTTGTATCATTCTGCATTTAGTAGCTTCAAATAAGAAATTCACAGTGATTATGTCAAGATGTGTGCCAACAGTATTTTAAATCCTAGACATGTATTTATGTTTGAATTTGCAGGAAAGTTTTGATGCAACTGTTTATGAATTTCTTTATAAATAATAGCATGTAGATTTGTTTTCTCTGACTTGTTTTTGTATCTTTTTTGTTCTGAAAACTTTCAATAAATTTTTAAATTGCTTAAATAAGGCTACACATAACTATTATTGGAATGTATGATATTTATTTTTATAGAAAAAAATGTGTTGTTAAAAGAGCATATAGTAAGTAACAATTCCACTTTTTGGAGAGGATGAAGGTGTCTAGCAATTTTCAAACAAGATGCATGTACGGCTCTCTTGGACTAGAATTGATAACTTTGTTACAGGAAATTGATCTGAGCAAGCGCAGGAACAAAGCAACATGACTACATTTCTATTTTAAAAATTCATTAAACCTCTGTGACAAAATTTTCTTTTATTTGAAACTCGATTTCTTTTATAGTTTATTTGTAAGATGGTTTTATGTTACTTTGCCTTCAGTATGTATGTTAATTCTTGACTGAGGGAAACATTTTACTTAAACTAAAATCATTTGAGCCCAGAGTTGAATTCAATTTCTTATTGCAAGAAAAAGCAGGGAAAAAACTATGTAGGGACTTCTTTTGGAATATCACTGTGGCAAGATGTATGCTTGGTGCCGTATAGCTTGGAATTAGATGTATTCTCCCCTTAGTGTGGAAAATTGTTTATTTCTTTTACAATATGTTGAATGCTCCATGGGTCCACCGGTTTCCTCCCTTCCTATGGAACTTCTAGGCTTCCCTATGTTGCTATAAATGAAGGAATTGTAAACTTCAGTATCCCGACTGTATTTTTGAAGGAAATTGTAGAGAGATTTGTTGGTGATCTTCATTGTGGTATTTGACATAGTAGTTGCATCACAAGTGAATATTAATGCTCAAAATGATATTTATAAACAACCATCCTTTTCATATCTTGGATGCATACATTTTTAAGTTCAACTGAACTTTAAAAAACACAGGAGCTACATTTGGAACACTACAGACTAATAGAATGTTATTACAGGAGTAAATAAGAACTAGACAGATAATGAAATAATCTTACAGGTTTTCGATACTGTTTTTTAGGATTAGGATAATTTACGGGTTTGGTCCATTCTTTTGAAGTATTGTTAACTTGTTCCTACAGAACCATGTAATCCATTAGAACCCTTGTCCCTGATTGTCAGCTTCTTTAGAGGCATTGTTTTATTCCTTCATTCTATAGATTAGCATAGTTTAAATTTGGTAGATTGTTTTTTTTTTTTGTCAGCTAATATCTTGAGCCTTTAGAGATGAAAATTCTATTATCACTGGTTTCTGTGATCAGAAGTGGAATTGTGTAGGTGTGAGGTTGCATTGTTCACAAATTGGTATGATATACTATGCCACATTCATACTGCTATTCTTAGAGGATGGATCATAGATTTATACTCAAGAAAACAAAGCAATGTTTCTCTATCTGCTGCTTGTTCAATTATATTGAAGCAAGTTTTTGAAGTGAGCTTAGATGATAATGCTTTATAACTAATAGATTATGCTTGTGACATAATATAAACCCATAAATATCCCATTGGTCTCCATGTACTGTACAGCAAGGTACATAATTAAATTCTGTAAGTCAACACTCCACTCATTTCCACTTAGAGAATTCCACCTAGATATGAGAATTCTACTACCACTGAGCTATAAAAGCTGGCTGGCAATTCATATAGCCTCATCTAACTCACTGAATTCCCAAAACTAAATCTTGACTATTCCCATTTCAAATTGTAATGGAGGCTGAGATGATTGAATATGTCACATTTTCAACCGGTACAAATAATTGTAGCACAGGGATTAATGCCTTGAGCGCTAGGTTATTAAAAACAAGGTTATTTTTCTAAACCCTTCAGTTTTGCTTTCCCCAATCTGATGCTATCTAGATAGTTTGGACTAGATTTCCACAAAATTCACGTCAGAGAAATCTGATTTAGGTGTTCTGGACAATTCAACATTTTTACACAACTGTTACGGTTATACCAAATCCAAAAAAGCTCCTTGCATGTAGTGGAAACTAATTAAAGATAAAATATTACAGCATACCTATAATCTTATATTGATAATGAGATAAAATGTGTGAAGCATTTCAATACACAGTACTTTATAAACATTGAGTATTGTTATTTGAAAAGTCTGCTCTGAAATTATTGCAGGAGATGTAAAATATGCTAAGCCAGTATTAATAAGCAAGCAATAATACTTGCTTATTGATACAGATATCAACACCCAGAGGAAAAAGATTTAGAAACTTAAATGTGTCAGACTTGCCAGTTGAATAAATATTGTTTAAAATTACAGAATTAATTTACAATCAATAAAAAAAAATTATAATTTCTATGCCATGGAAGAGTTTATCTTTATTTCCAAAAGAATTGCAGCTTGCTCATTACAGAGCTTGCTTTCCTGTTTTGAATGAGGATCATTCATATTGTATAATGTAATATTTTTATTTTTTTTCACAACTACTGTATAATTAGTAGTTGTATAATACAGTTAAACATTGTAGCAAGTAGCAACACATAACATTTGTATTACAATTAGTTCTAAGTTTAATTTTTTAAAAATAACATTTACTGATTACAAAAAAAATAGAAAAGGAATGGAAGAGTCAAGCTAATCTCTTTGAGATTAGAGAAGAAAATATTCCTAAACCTGAGCCCTATTATTCCAGTTTCTACATATTTGATACAGGTCTAAAGATGTCACAAAATGGCAACCATTTAGTAACTCTTTCATTTTTGAAATAAAAATCAGGGGAGCAAAGCTATATACAGAACTATCAAATGTGGATCACCTAAATGACAAAATTGGGTAGGGGTGTTTTTTTTAAACAATATAGAATTTTTACTTTTTCTAAAAAATAAAAATATTTCTAAAAAATCCCTACAACTCACAAATGAAGAAAGATAATATGGTACGAATGTGACTACTTTATCACTTCTTAAATGCAAAACTACTACCAAATTTACTTCACACAGTAGATAGATACTGTATTTGTAGGTGAAAATTAATATAGCTTGCCTCCAGTTTCCAATACAGATAGTCCTCAACTTACAACAGTTCACTTAGTGACCGTTCAAAGTTAGAACGGCACTGAAAAAAATGGCATGACCATTTTTCATACTTACGGCCGTTGCAGCATCCCCATCGTCACATGATTCACATTCGGATAACTGACAACTGACTCACATTTATGATGGTTGCAGTGTCCCGGGGTCAGGTTTTGCAACCTTCTGGCAAGCAAAGTTGATGGAAAAACCAGATTCACTTAACAACCGTGTTACTAATTTAAGAACTGCAGTGATTCATTTAACAAATGTGACAAGAAAAGTGGTAAAATGGAGCAAAACTCTATTAACAAATTTATCACTTAGCAACATAAATTTTGGGCTGAATTGTGGTCGTAAGATGAGAACTTCTTGTATCATGTCTAGAAAAAGGCAGAGTTTTCTTTATCTTTTCAATTCTGCCTACTGATGATCCAGAATTTTGTAGCTAAATTTTCATACCTGTACAATAGTATTTTAATGCTATCAGAAAGTACCATATTTTTTGGACTATAAGATGCACCGGTGTGTAAGACGCACCAAGATTTTGAAGAGGTAAGTAAGAAAAAAAAGGTTTTTGCCCTCCCCGACCTCCAGAAGCACTCTGCAGGCCTCCCAAACCCTCTGCACACCCTGTTTTTCGCAAAAACAGGCCCATTTTTTGCCCATTTTTATGAAAAATCAGGTGTGCAGAAGGATTGGGAGGCCTGCAGACTGCTACTGGGGGCTGGGGGAGGGCAAAAACGCCCCCGTTTTTGCAAAAAATGTGTCAAAAATGCAGTTTTTCACAAAAACTGCATTTTTGCCCTCCCCAGCCCCCAGGACCACTCTTCAGGCCTTCCAAACCCTCTGCGCACCCTGTTTTTGCGAAAAATGGGCCAATTTTTCACAAAAAATGGATGAGCGGGGCGGGGCTTCGGGAGGCCAAAAATGGCTGTATTCGGTGTATAAGATGCACCAACATTTCCGCCCTCTTTGGGGAGGGGGAGTGTGTCTTATACTCCGAAAAATACAGTACTTCTTTGCACCCAAAGCCATTACTTCCATTACACAGGTTGCATTCAGCATTCTTTGTTAAAATATTGCAAACATCTCCAATCCTCTATTTTTTTCTGAGGGATCATCATTATTGCCCTTGGGTTGGTCCAACCCAAAACTGGGTGGCTCGTTTCACCTGGTATGAGTTAGTTACCCAATAATAACACAGAGGTGAGTGGGAACATATTGAGAATTTTATTTCTGTACAGAAGTCAAGAACTAATGTTTGGGATTAGAGCCACCCAGCATGCGTGCCCTGCACGGCAGGTTTAGAAATTTAACAGATCTCATCAGATTACATCATCAGTTCTGATTGATTGAATACATTTACCTCACACCTTAACTTTCTCTGTCTCTGGGTAGATTTCCAAAATTTCTCATGGGGGCACCCAGTGATTTATGCTAACCTGTATTTGACCTTTGATACTTTCCTTGCTCCTAGAAAATTCCAGCAGTGTTCTCTTTATTGTGGTGCCAAATTTTGCACAAATGGTAGTGCTTTCTGTCGGTAAAACTGTTTCCAAACTTAAGGTTGCGCTTAGTCACCGAGAGGCATGCTGGGAGCCCCATTTCAAAAACAAATGATTTAGCCTAGGACAATTTTTTTTTTGACTTAATTATATTTTGTCGTAATTAACCATCACTAACACCACTGTTCTCCAGCCATTATTAATAATCTCTCCCTTTTGCTGTGTCTAAAAACGAGAGTTTTGTACTTTTTCGCTGTCTCTGGGAGATTCACAATGTGTACCTCTGTGGGAGCTATAGATAGAATTGCTGACTAGCTTGATTCATACAGTTAACAAAGGCATAGTTGGCTTAATTTCAGTTTGTTTAGATCATAATTGTTATTATGAAGGGAGGGGCTTAGTTTGCAATAAAACCCTATCAAAATCTCATGCAGACCACATTGTGAAAAACCCGAACTTAGTATCTTCAGTGATCCAATTTTCTTCCACTAGCAAACCATTAAAATAATTAATAATAATAATAACAACAACAATAACAACAACAACGCTTGGGAAGTGTTCGACTAGTGATTTGGGATACGAAATCCAGCATGGTCATCTCATTTGCTATGTATACTGTCATAATAATAATAATAACAACAATAACAATTACTATTACTATTACTACTACTACTACTACTACTACTACTACACCAGGCTTAGTCAGCAGGTTGCAAATTCTACTGAAACATTATTCTACATGGTCTATTTACCTGTTATTTGTCTCATTTCACTGGCAATATCATATTAGATGAAATCCATCCGGATGTTTATGTTTGATTGAGTTCAAAAACAGCCATGTGGAAAACTCGGCCCACGGCATAGGCAGCCATGCTGGGTTTCTTCACCATAAAATCCAGCTGGGTGACCTTGGGCCGATCACTCCCTCTCAGCCCAACTCACCTCAGAGGGTGGATGTTGTGGGGGAAATAAGGAGGAGGAAAGTGCGTTGGATATGTTTACTGCCTTGCATTATTTTGAAAAATAATAAAGGCAGACTGTAAGTAAATAGGGGACCCTGAAACAATCCAATTTCCAGCCCCTTCTTAGCCGATTGAGAGGGATCCCAATCGTGGCCTAGCCTCCATTTTTAAAAATGAACTGCTGCCTCAAGCTGAAATAGGGACTAATGGGTTAGAAAGATTTAAGCCACTGCCCGTATGGAAGACAAAACTAAGCTTACACTGCATCATCCTTGGATTCTGTTTTCATCCATTTTCAATGTAAACCCTACCTCACTTTTAATTCATGTTAACTAATGCTGCCTAACAGTCCTGTTTTTGTAAGTAAATTGAACTGAATTTAAATGGTAATGGACGGTGCATGCTTTTCATTTCTCCACTCGGTGGCACTTTCTTTGCTGCATGCCAGACAGAATGAACCTGGTGAATTTCTGCCTGTCATTACTGCTGCTGATAGTAAGAGGAGGGTCTTTTCTCATTAAGCTTCTTTGTATGAATTCATTTAACCAGGCTCAGAAATAGTGATAGAATAGAATAAAATAACAGAGTTGGAAGGGACCTTGGAGGTCTTCTAGTCCAACCCCCTGCCTAGGCAGGAAACCCTACACCACTTCAGACAAATGGTTATCCAACATCTTCTTAAAAACTTCCAGTGTTGGAGCATTCACAACTTCTGGAGGCAAGTTGTTCCATCGATTAATTGTTCTGTCAGGAAATTTCTCCTTAGTTCTAAGTTGCTTCTTTCTTTGATTAGTTTCCACCCATTGCTTCTTGTCCTGACCTCAGGTGTTTTGGAGAATAACTTGACTCCCTCTTCTTTGTGGCAGCCCCTCAGATATTGGAACGCTGCTATCATGTCTCCCCTAGTCCTTCTCTTCATCAAACTAGACATACCCATTTCCTGCAATTGTTCTTCATATGTTTTAACCTCCAGTCCCCTAATCATCCTTGTTGCTCTTCTCTGCACTCGTTCCAGAGTCTCAACATCTTTTTTACATCGTGGCGACCAAAACTGAATGCAGTATTCCAAGTGTAGCCTTACCAAGGCATTATAAAGTGGTATTAACACTTCACATGATCTTGATTCTATCCCTCTGTTTATGCAGCCTAGAACTGTGTTGGCTTTTTTGGCAGCTGCTGCACACTGCTGGCTCATATTTAAATGGTTGTCCACTAGACTCCAAGATCCCTTCACAGTTACTACTGTTGAGCAAGGTACCACATATACGGTACCTGTGCATTTTGTTTTTCTTGCCTAAATGTAGAACCTTACTTTTTTCTCCATTGAATTTCATTTTGTTAGATAGCGCCCAATGTTCAAGTCTGTCAAGATCCTTTTGTATCTCAAGCCTATCTTCTGGAGTGTTGGCTATTCCTGCCAGTTTGGTGTCATCTGCAAATTTGATGAGTTCCTCATCTATCCCCTCATCCAAGTTATTGATGAAGATGTTGAAGAGTACTGGGCCTAAAACAGAGCCTTGGGGTACTCCACTGCTTACTTCCCTCCATGTAGATGTAGTTCCATTGAGGGCTACACCTTGAATGTGGTTGGTCAGCAAGTTACGAATCCATCTGGTGGTGATGCTGTCTAACCCACATTTTTCTACTTTATCTAGTAGTAGATTATGGTCTACTTTATTAAATGCCTTACTGAAGTCCAAGTAAATTATATTGACAGTATTCCTCTGGTCCACTAATTATTCCCACATATCCAGTGACCTTTAGGGACTAAATTATACTATTGTATAATCCCATTCTTTTACTGCACCCCTTAACATCCTAATTGCAAGAGCAACATAGTCATGAGATATTATTAGTTAACCCACAAGAAGTTACTTTAATTCTGGATATGCAGATGTTCCTCACTTAACCAAGAGGCATTGCATTTCTCTCTTTAAATAACATCACCATGCTTGTCAACATCCAAAGGAACTTGCTCCTAAACACATTTAAAATTGTGGCGGCAAGGATTTTCTTGTTTATTTTGCTCAGCTTCTAATTATTTTGGCCACTAAAAATAAGGATCACAACATATGCAAGTGCTCCTTACAACATATAAATAATAGTTTTACTATTTTGTCCAACAGTAGATAACTTTAAGTGGGATTGCATTCCAGAAGTATTAGTGATTGCCAAAATGTCTGCAAATTGTGGTCAAGAAAAAATACGATGGAGTACTACAATCATTCTGAGTTCATCTTTCCAGGTAACGTATGCCCTAAAAGCCTAAATGCTCTCACCAAAAGGCTGACAATTGGAAGGGTTGCTTATTCATAAGCTTGTTACATAAAAACAGCAAGGCCAGGCACCAAACACTAATTTATAAGAAGTCATGTTGGTGATGTTATTTCTCCTTATCCTCCTCTGGCTTTCACATATACTCATCAGTATAATTTATTTTTCTTTGTTTATTTCTGGGGAGGTGGTTTATGTCTAAGCTAAGCCATGGGCTGCAGACACTCATCCTTGTTTCAGCTGGAATACTTCTAAGCCTATATGGAATCTCCAACCCAATTATTATCAGATTGCCTCTCCCAATGTTAGATGCAATTATGTTACTGGAACGAACAAATAACTATTGAAGAATCACATCATTGCTTCTATTTGGAGAGAAGGGAAACAGCCACAACTATTTAATATTTTAAAATAGTAGGATATGTTTCCACGGCACACTTGACTATTCTTGCTACCTGACAAAAGTTTTTAATTTGTTTTTATTAATTGTGAATAAGGATGATGCTCACCTATGTGTTGTCTTTCTCTTCTTTTCTCTTATAGACTCTTTCTTTAGTTAGCTAATAGCAATTAGACTGGACATTGAATAGTCTAATGAGAAAGATGCAATGGAGAAAATTGCATAGAAAATTTTATCTAGATTCTCTTTGCTTTCAAGGAGATATTGATACAACTATAAAGTTTATCTCTATTATTACTCCATTTATTTATTTACTTTGCATCCCACAGTTGTTATTTTTATAAATAACTCAAGATGGCAAACATACCTAATACTTTTTTTAAAAAATAGCATTTCTGAATAGATGAGTAGAAAAAATGAGAAAATTTAATTAGTCTATTTTAGGATGATAATGCTTATGTAACTGAGAATAATTACACATCTAACTGTGTTTGCTTGCATGTTTTTAATGATACTAAATTCTTAAGAAAGCTCAAAACAGCTCAGAATGAAATTGTGTTCTTGAAAAAATGATGGTCCAACTTTTTAAATAGAATGCTACAAGCTCACAGCATTTTATTTTAGTGGGCTGAAGGTGAAAATATATTTTTAAACTAAAAAGTGTAGAAAAATTATTTTCGCATGAACCAAGTAATTGAAGCACTATATGAGGCATATTATTCAATTATACACTTTACTTCCACAGTCTGGGATTTTAGACAGTAATTTTGTTTAGCTTTTAAAGTTAGAAAAAATACCAGATAGATCTGATAACAGTCAGCTAACAAATCCAAATTATACTTTAATATGCAAGGGGAGCATATTGTCTCCTTACAAGAAAAGACAATATAATTAGTTTTATTCCATGATTGGAACATCCATAAGCATTTTTTATCAGCTTTTGCAAAGAGAGGGCTTGGCTAGATGGGCCTTGGATTGATCCGGCATAACAAAGATTGCAGGGTTTTTAAAATTAGCATTTATGTATATTCAAACTATTGTGAATAATGACCATTCTACTTAAGAGACAGAATATATTTTAATATATCATTTTGTTACTTATTTAGAGTCATGAAATTTCAACAACCTTACAAAATCAGCAACACCGGGTTCGTTATTCAGATTCAGTGGAAGATGGATCTATTATTTTCTCACTTTCTGGTATATTACTATAGTTTTTCATTTTCCCCACAACAGCAACTCTATGAGGCGGTTTGGGTTGAGAAAAAGTAACTGGCCCAAAGTCAGCAGCTAGCTTTCATGCCTAAGGGAGACCTAGAACTCATTGTTCCCTGATTTCTAAGCCAGCATCTTAATCACTACACCAAAATAGTTTACTTTAAATGGGATAAATGGTTAACAAACATAAACCTAATGGGGGGAGGGAGAAAGAAAATGGGTACTTTATGCATTTTGAAACTACTCTCCATGAAATGGAAAGGATATGATAGATCAAAATGAAAGCAGACTGATCTCACGAGAGTGAAATTGATTAATACATACATTAAGTGAAAGTGTAGGTTTAATTGCAGGTAGTCTTCGGTTAGTGACTATTCAGAGATACTTTGGCACTGAGCAAGTGATACTTATAATCCATCCTCAAAGTTCCAGCTGTTCCAGCACACCTGTGATCATGTGATTGCAATTTGAGTGCTCGGAAAGTAGATAGCACTTACAATGTTTGCAGCATTCCACAGTCATGTAATTGCCATTTGCAACCTTTCCTGCTAGCTATCCGTAAGCAAAGTTGGTGGGGAAGCTCACAGGGAAGGCTGCAAGTCACTCCTATAAGTCTCTCACTTTCCAGCCACTCCTGAGGAACCTAGCTACGGAGTATAAGATCCCGGAATGTCATACTCCATAGCATGCATCCACTTGCAGCACCCCACTCACCTACACTCCATAACATATGCCAACTTAGCCATGCTGATGCAGCACCATGGCAGCCATCTGCATATCCTCCTGCCTGTCAGCACCATCACAACTGCCACCACCCTCAGCTAGGCTTGCATCATGCCACAGCAGCTACTTAGCCACCCATCAGCTTCTTGCAAGCTGCCCAGGACTTGTAACTTCTTGCCAGCTTCCCCATTCACTATGCTTGTTGGAAGCTGACAGGAAGTCCTAAGTGGCTCTTTACTTAACCATCTGCGATCCTCACTTGTGACAGCAACAGGGACTGCTGGGATTACATCCCTAAGCGAGTCAGTCATGTGACCTCACACTTTACAATCGTATTGTTTAGCGGAAGAAATTCCAGTCCCGATTGGCCTTGTTAAATGAGAACTACACATATGAGTGAAGGGGGTAAAATATAGTATGTCAGAAAGTAGTTGTTCTCATATAAATTATTGTGGATGCATATGAAAATATCAGTTCATAGATTCATGGACCAACATGCTATGCTCCAAGGAATGATGAAAATAGACTAGACATGAATTTTGAAAAAAATTACAAAACATTGTGAATGAATATGATCCAGTGGAAAAAGACTACTCTGTAGGGCACCATGAATGGCAATGAGTTCCGTTCACAAAGTGATATGGACATTTAGAGAGACTAGAATGAGTAAGAATTTCTGGTTAGAGGACATTATTTTGAATATGTGATGTATATATAAATATATTAATGCATACGTGGGAAAAGAAAATGTTTTGAAAAGTATAAATGATTTGATTATGGTGAAAGAAATAAAATAGAATAATTAGTGAATAATACAAGGATGATTAAGGGTTCTGGGTCTTTGGGCCTTGCCAATTCTCTTATATTTTAATAGTATTAGTACTGCTGCACAAAACTTGCAAGATAAAATAACATTGAACAAATATTATCCAAATTGCCCACTGCCATTTTTTCATCTTTGTTCTAGATCTATTTTCTTGGACTTTCCATTAATCTTCAGTATTGTGGATTTAGGATGCAGTTTTATATAGATTTTTCAGTTTCAATAGCTGTATATACCAAACCATATACAAATCATATACTGTATGTAATCTTTCAATTCAACATAGTTTAATAAAAAGTTGTTCTCGCTTAGGTGTTGCATTTTTGCTTGCCGACACTCAAGATTTGCTATTGACAAACAGCAAAGTCATTTTTGAAAGAATAAAAAAGTTCATGACCATTCACAGAAATGGATTTTTACTTTTATCAGCTGCCCTTCATGGACCAAAAGAATGGGAAGTGATGTTCAGAATTCAGCAGAGGTATGAAATAATTAAGTCATAATTTGAAATTTGCTCTATTACTAATGGAAAATGGATATATCTATAGCATTTGCTGACTCATACTATTTAAGATAATTTATTTCTGTTCATTCTGTGAAAGCAAGCCAAATAATAAAAGCACTTTACATTATTATATTGCAAATAATAATATATACAGTCTCAATCATTTGGACCCTTTACAGTCAGAGTTGAGATTTGGTTACCACATAGAAAAATCACAATTGAGGGAATGCAAATTTTCTGGTCCTCCTTGGTCTCCCAGCAATTTTTGATACCATTGACCATTGTAACCTTCTGGATGGTCCCTAAGGATTTGGGTGGGCAGCACTGTTCTGCAATGATTTCACTCCTTTCTAAAATTGTGTTGCCAGTTGGTGATGATGGGAGAGATCAGCTTAATCCTCAGGTCAAAGCATTGCCATGAAAGGGGCCCAGTGCCTGAAACCGTTAAATGCCTTCAAGATGAATTTGGATCTGTGATCTAATTATTTCAGGGAAATTCCAACTTTGACTCTGAGCAGGTTGCTCAGGGATGGCCCATAATCAAGTTCCTATAGGCACATAGTTCCTACTTGAAAAGCAAGTGACAGCTGTGGCATGGAAGCTTTTGCACTGTTCTATCTAAATTGTGACCATTTATGGATCAGAAAGCCCTGTTCACAATCACTCATGCCCTAAAGCTTATTTGGACTACTGTAGCACATTCTGCATTGACCTGCCCTTCAAGAATATTTAGAATTGTGTGTGTGTGTGTGTGGGCTATTCCTTCCTGCCTTGAATGCTACATATTTCCAGTGGCTTCTAGATGTGACTTGAGGTGCCACTTGCACTTTTAAAGCCCCATGTGCTTTTTGTCTGAAGGTCTGCTTTCTTTTATATGCATCTGCCTGTCGAACCAGATCAAATAGGGTTAATTCCCTCCAGGCTCAGAACTTGACAAGTGTCCAAAGCAGATGTTTTCAGTAGCTGCTCTGCTTCTTTGGAACTCCCTCCCAGATTTAGGCATCTTTTGTATCTTTTATGCTTTAACAAAGCTGTGAAGACTGCAAATATCCATTCCATCTTGCACTGGGATGGTGTGTTGTAATTAAAGGTGGGTATAAGGCATTTATATTTTCTATTTTTTATCTTTCTTCATTTTTGTATATGTATTTGGGGTGTCATTATTTTAAGAGTTGACATAGTTGCCTAGAGCATTCAGGTAGGGGTAATAAAATAGACAAATAAGTAAGACCTGCCATCACTTTTTGTCCCTCTTGAGCTTTCTGGAAATTGTGAAGACCTGCACAGAAAATGTAACAAATTAACAGTTCCCAAATATACATTCATGTAATGCAGAAGTCTGGTTTCAGTGAGATATGCTACCAAGTAAATATTTACAAAACTTTTAGCGTACATTTTCCTATGTTTGACAATGGAAAGTCTTACTTCCAATTAAGAAGCAATCAAAATGCATAGTATAAAATCCCAGATGAGAAGAGGAACATGCTATGGACATAACAGGAGCTGAAGATATCCTGATGATGTTGCATATTTGTGTTTAAATTTGTGGGTTGAAGAGCACAAAGAAATTCAAGATTATTTTTCAGTAGAAGTTTTTAAAATTAAGTTAGCAGCTAGCAAATTGTATTACAGCAACAGCTATATTTCTTAGGGAATTCAGGAATACTAATATAGAGACATATGTGAAAATAAGGCATGCAGTTCCTTCCAAAAGGGAAAATATATAACTTAGTTATTTAGTTCTAGTTTACAATATGGAAAGTCAGAGAAAAGGATAAGAAAGATATATGTACATAGCCAGCAGGACCAGACCAATCTTCCCCTAATTTCAACCTCCAATCATGGTTCTATGCTAGCAAGAGTACAATCCCCAATCACCATTTTCATTGCAGCAGCTGGCGCTTCTGTATTTTTGTTGGAACGGAAGCAATTAGACATGCAAATGTAGTTCATAAAACAGTTCAGATACACAAGGTTTTCCAGGGCTTAATCTGCTGTTATAAAACAGATGCGAGTTTCACAGCTGAAAAGCAACACGGAAATATTTAAATTGATCTACATCAAATCAGACTAACTAGCCTGATATTATAGTGGATGAAAAGTAGGATGTATATTCTTGAATAAATACTAGCGTATAGAAGACTGGCCCTAGCGAAGATAATACAAATATATATAAGAAATTTATTTTGTATACTTGTCAACTGGGCCTTTTTATTTTATCACATTAGGTGTAACTTTCATTTTGTTATCTCACTAGTATTGTGATTGGCAGAAGTTAAGGGACAGTCTACTTAAAATTCCATTTTACTTCAATTTCCTGATCCCTTTAAAAATGTTGGAACTTAAACCATTGTAAAACCATGACATCCTTGCACTTGGTTCTTAATTATGGTTCCTCTTATAGAATGTATTGTTATCTGAAGAAACAAAATGTAATTCTATAATATCATCGAAGTACATGGCTTGTTACCGAATAATATAACAAAAACAATAGTTTGCTAGATTTAGGAAGCTTTAACATTGTTTCAGTAGAAAATGAAACAGCAAAGGAGACTACAACTAATAGGTGAACATGCAGCTAGGTATGTTTATCCTCCATTTGCTTTAGGAGGGAAGAGAGTGGGTGACTATGCTATACAGCAAGGATCTCCAACCTTGGCAACTTTTAAGACTTGTGGACTTCAATAGCCAGAATTCCACAGCCAGTATGGCTGGCTAGGAAATTCTGTGAATTGAAGTCCACAAGTCTTAAAGTTGCCAAGGCTAGAGAATATGGCTTTACAGGGTAAATTCATAAATAATTGTGAAAGATTGGTATCCATATTTGTTACTAACAGCAAGTACAAGGCCAATAATGGCAAAAGGAGTGGTACATATTCAGGGAAAATAATAATGTCCAAATAACATTTATCCTGAAAAAATACAAGACTATGTCTTCTATGGTGCACTGGTCCAGGAAGATACTAAACTATGAGTTCTAACTCATCATCTGGGAGTTCTGGGAGAAGGGTGGTATACAAATTAAATTAATAAAAATAAAATAAATAAATCATCTGATACTGATGGGGCTCCAGCAGGGCTGTCAAACTACTGGCCCATGGGCCAGATGCGTCACGCACTGGCCACGCCCATGCCCGGTTTAGCGAAGGGGGAAAAAGTCCTGATACGTCATGTGATGACGCCGTGAGTTTGACACCACTGGGCTAGAGCACAGACTAACATTCAACATTGCCAGAAGCATAGAATCCAACAATATAACTTTTTTTTTTGCATGAATGTTTGTTCAATTTTTGACATCATAACTCAAAAGGATCTCAGATCAAAGATCTAGGAGAAGATGGACACAAAAAATGTTTGTTGTATGTTTATGTTTAGTCATGGGTTAAGGTGCAAGTATGCCTTTTAGTTTTCCAACAGATTGTATTTTCTATACTAAAATGGAGACATGTAGACTAGTGTTTCATTTATTAAATAATCATCAGTAAAACAGTCTACTTCCCATTTTAAACATTTATATATCTATCTCCATTTTAGCCAAGAAATATGAAGTCCCCAAATGTTACTATCATATACCTTTATGTAATTGTATACTATTTTTTATCTGTACTAAAAAATTTAATGTACAAATGGATATTTATTTAAAAAAATCTCTGCTTAAGGTTTTTAAGCAGTAATTTACGGATAGTTCCAGTCCATAATTCTGCTGAAGCTGTTAAATTAATGTTGACCATAGCAAAGGTAAGTGCAGAATTTGTATTTTAAAAATTCTATGTCTATAGTAATATATAAATATAAATACTTGCACTCAAATAGATTCATTTGTTGTGCAGTACTTGAACATAACAGCATGGTTGCTGCCACAGTAGAGATTTTCGATTTCAAGACAGCTTTTTCTTATAATATTAATTATAAATGCATCCAATCCAAAATTTCATAAAAACGAAGAAAGACAAATAATACTAGGTCTTTACCCAATTATTTGGTTGGGCTGAGCATACACAAAATCTCATTGCTTTTTGTGTTCTATACTGCAATTCTCGACTGTTTTTTCAAAGACATTTTCAGTTCAGTCTGCCATTCCCCCCTCCCTCCCAGAATGCCACCTGGTCATTTTGGATTACAATCCAGCAGCTCAATTCAAAATCCATTTTGAGAGCAAGCCCCAAATTACTTTAACAGACCTTACTTCTCAATATGCTTATAAACATTGTGTTACAAGGATATTTTAATATATGCTTTTAAGAGCAGATAATATTGAATTACCAGTATTTACTTTACTTTTTATTATATTTATATACCGCCCTTCTCCCGAAGGACTCAGGGCAGTGAACAGCCATGGTAAAAACAGTATACAAGACAAAAATTTAAAAACTTATTAAAATAATTCAATCACTGGCCAAATTTAAAACACCCAGCTAAAATCGTTATTTAAAACCCCTATCAAAACCCAATTAAAATCCTTTATCCCATCAGACCGGCTTGCTGGAATAATAGGGTCTTGTTTTTGTTTAGATCAGATCAATATAAAATCAGAATTAAGGCCAAGAGTTCAACCACTTGAAAAATGTCATTTGTAGAACTTTTGCTTGGATATTGGATGGTAAAATCTTCAAATCTTTCTCAACTGTTGATGACATAATACATAAATGACAACTATAACCTATTATATTTCTCTTATTGGAAGACTTCTTCAAAACCCTATCTGGACAACATTCACGACAGAATGCTAATGGCAAAGACACAGATTATAGAACAAAGCCCTGTTTGGAAAATGCTTCATCACAGTCAATTGCACTGAAGTTAAACACCATCCAAATTATTCAAAAATTTGACCATGTTTATTTTGTGCTTTAAAAAAAACATATCCACAAAAAAATGAACACCTATCTGAAAATACACTTTAATAGATATGTTCAAAATAAAAAAACTCTCTGTACTTAGATGTTTAATCTCCAATATAAAGAAAGAAATTATCCTTATACATTTTCCTTTCAATAGTCAAAAGAAGGACAGATGTAAACCACAGCCTGTATATAAGGATCTCAATACTTTCGAATTAATTTCAGGAGAGAATGGTCATTATTCAAAAGTACAGAAGAGCAGCTAATAGACATGATTTTAACTTTACAGTTAAAAGTTCACTATAACTTAACTTTAACAGTTACAGTTCACTATAGTTGTTTACTCACTTCTATTTTTTGCCTTTTGATAATTCTTATTCTGTATTTTAGCAATGTTATTTTTCTTCCTTTTGTATTACTGTACCATGGGGACTTGTATCATAGAGATTGAAATTTAAGTAATAGGAATCATTTTACCAACACATCTGTATATAAGCTTGTGACAAAGATAGGAATTAAATTATAAGCAGCTTTTGTCAATCGATTCACTAGTATGAGATTTAATTCTATGGGATTAAATCCAGAACCAGCTGGATTCTGTTAATGGAAGAAGCCCTACTATTCATAGAACAAATTACAATCCAACTGAAACTTGCGTCTGGAAGGGGAAAGGTCAAGAAAAAGCAAACAACTTTTGCCAATTATTTTCTACCACTTCCATTGTGTTTCTCAAACTGCCCTTGAAAATGTCACTAATTCTATGCATCTGATTTTCATAAAATTCAAGCAGAACAATAGTTTTCCTCAATTTTTATTAATCCATCTAATCATAAATCTTGTGAATAAAATGTAATATCTTTTGTAGTTCTTGCTTATATATTGCTACTTTATTTCATAGTATGCCTTTATAAATAGGTACTGTTACATAACATTTTAGCATGAAAATACATGGTGACAGATACCTGTGGTTCTGTCATTCAAAATATAGCAAGGGCACAATGTAATCCTGGGACTAACCTCTGAAGGTGTAGGGGAAATATATATATTCTAAAAATTATCTAGAAGTCTGTAATAATTATTATTTTGCTTTTTTTAAAAAAAATGGCATGTTATATTTCGGTCAGTCCAACTTGATAAATTGAATACTGAAATAAAGATTTTATTTGACTCCAGTGGTTCTTCAGTTGCAGCCTTTGTTTTCAATGAGTTCTTCTACCCTTGCCAGAACACTCTCCATTAAATCAAATGTGAAAAGTGCAGAGTGAAGAGCCTGAAACAGATTGACATTATAAATTTAGAAGTATATTGGGAATGCTTTACTTTTTCTTAAGTAAAAGGAAACACACATTTTAATAGTTTCCCTAAAACCAAATTACTCACTTGAAGCTCCATGTCCTTTGTAATTCCTGACATCTTTGCTTTAGCTATCAATTGAAAACAGGCCCTTTTAGAACTGCGAGGCTCTGCTATGGAAAAGAATAAAGGCTATTAATATATAATTCCCTGTAACTTCACTTTGGCTTGAAACTCACTATATTTAGGTATCCCTGCAGTCAATTTTACCTGGCATTTCTTAGAGGACAACTCTTAACATAGAGCATTCACATTTAATGACATATCAGTACTTTTGTTTAAAGTCCAAAGGTCTCTGTTTCAAACCTAAAATCCATTATTAAGACAAGATCCTTTTGAGGTTTTACCCATCTCTATTTGCATATGGAAATATGGTAAGGAGAAGTTTCATATACCCTCCTTAAATAGATCTATTACTCCATTTGTAACTTAAATTTCACATAGTCCAAATTAGAGTATTCCTTTGTGCCTGTGAAAACTAAGACATGCATAAAATAATGAAGTTAGCTAACCTCTTTTATTTTCTTTCTTCCTTTTTATTTCTGCTTCATAGTGTGCTCTTGACATATTAAGTCCAGTGTGTAAAGGCTTCAAGAAATTTATCTCTATCTTGTAAAGTTCTGTCCATACACAAGTCTCAGGGAAAAAAGGAAATATTAAATAAGATTAGTGGCACTATAATTTACAGTATAAGTCTTAATAAACATTTTCTTCAATGACATGATTTGCTGGTTTTTTTTTAAAAAAAGATTTAAGACGTAACCTGCATTGCTAAGCTGCATTTTAATCAGTTAATCCAGTGTCATAATATAACATTTATTTTTATTCATAACTGAACTTCAGATTAACATTTCAGTTTTTGACATGTCTTCCACATCAGACCTGGAAAATTGTGATTCATTAAGCTGAGTGTAGATCCCCTAATCATAGAATGCACTATATCCATTACTAGATTAATGTAATAAAACTGATATACCATGTCAGGTAGCACGAACAGGATTTTTTCCCAATAATATTATTTTACTAAAGATTATATTAACTACAGATTTAAGTACATAATACAGAAACATTAAAAATTTAAAAATTACAAAGTTCAGAAAAAGAACAAAAAGAAAAGCAAAAGCCTCCTCCTTAATTCCCAGAGAGTACAATCAACATTAACAACTTATCACTATCTCTTAATATACAACCAAATGTCTCTTTATTACATACCTCATCCCATTCTCTATAAACTCATCTCTAAAACTTTATCTTTTCATATAAATCAACCCTAACCCTAACCCTAACCCTAATCTTTTCCAAATATATAGCAAAAGGGAGATTACAAAAGATAACTGTTGGCCTTTGAAAGTTGTAAACAGATTAAGGGCTCAGATGGACTTGATTTAAGACTCTGAAGTTAATTGAAAGGATCCTTTCTCCTGGGGAAATTTCCTTGTTTTTCTTGGAAAGCTGATATGATGTCTTGAAAGTTGGATACGAGAGGGCAACAGACGGCTACCTTAAAAGAAATGTTTACTGAATGGGTACAGTAGGTCTTTGAGTTATTTAACTCTATAATGGAATCAGAAGATGCTCTTGAAAAGGAACAAACTCCACTGAATAAAACTGAAATTGACTTACAAATGAGCTTAAAGATTGTAGCTACAAGAAAGAGAAGGAAATAATGGATTTACAAATGAAATTGGATAAAGATTTAAACATTTAAAAGTTATACAAAGAATAAATTAGAACAGCAATGGGATTATTTTGTTTTATTTCATTTACAATAGAGATTTGCTGCAGTTGCCCCACTGGCATTACAAAAGGGACCTGACAAAGATGAGAAGAGATGAAGAGAGTAGGTGGAAACAGATGTTAGAACTTTCTATAAGGAATTTAAAAACTGTTGAGAGAAAGAAAGATTGCAAAACTGATCTAGTTAATCAAGGTTAAAATAATGAGTTGCTATTTCTGATTATGTTTAATGGATTTTCTGATTGGGGCTGGACGTTGATAATCTGAAGAGAGGAAACGGGGAATCTGCTTAAATAGAAATGGAAATATAAATATAAAAGGAAGGATTCCAACTGGGTGTAATAGATAAAATTTATAATTCTTATTTTGTTATTTCTGATAACCCTTATTAGAACAGGATATATATTGAGCTCTTGTCAGATAACTGACCTAGATGATAAATCTATATCAGCATCTACTTCTGTCCTACTATCGCAACACCATTGAGAGTGTCCTGACATACGGCATTCTTGCATGGTATGGGAGCAGCTCTGTAGCGGACAAAAATGCTCTACAGAGAATCATTAAACTGCCCAGAATATCATCAGACTCCAGTTACCAGCCCTGGATGACATCTTCGAATCTCGCTGTTTGAGAAAGTTGCATAACATTCTCAAAGACTCTTCCCATCCTGCTTACAGGGTGGTTTAGGGGTGGGGAACTGTGGAGGGTGGGAATGTGTTTGGGGATTATTATGTGTGTTGGACCTGGTCTTTGGGTGTTAAGTGAATTTCGTTGTATGGGTATACTGTGTATACATGTACCATTACAATAAAGTTATTTATTTAACAGAACAGAATATGCAGCCTGTAATGGCAGTTGCCCCAAGCATTTGAGCCAGCTTTCTTTGAGGCCAAGTAGAATAAACAGGGTTTACATTTAATTTACTGTATTGGATTATTACTTTATTGATGCCTTAGTGACAAATAACTCAACTGAAAATTCTGCTTTAGGGCTGTAGATGATTGATCCCCAATTTAGAAAATGGTCTGAATGTCATTAAACCATATCTGAGTGCATAAAACCACCCATAAAATCCTGAAATCTTGTAATTCAGGAAGTTTTGTGGTATAAATAAAGTACAGCTGCTTCCTAAAATCACATCAATTGCAATTAGAATCCCAGAGTTTCCAAGTGAATCTGAACCATGCCTAACCGATGAAGTAAACTTGAAAACATCCAGTTAAAAACAGCGTTTATTTCTTCGTACATACAGCTAGAATCAGAATGCAAGGTTGTACACTTCAGTAATCAACATTACTTCAGGGCAATTACAGTAATTTGTTTTTAATAGAATAGGGATGTCAGATAGCTTGCATGATTGGTTTATGTTGACTGACTAGTTACAGAAAGAAGCACATTTGAAAATCAGGTCAGGGAGCAAAGCTTGCAAAAAAAAGAGAGGGGGGGCAATGTACAGGAGAGCAGCAAATAATTCAGAAATGGAGGCAATATCCTCCTTGCTGCTTGAGAGGCGTAAAATATCTGCTGGAGCAGACTTGAACTCTGAAAAAGGCTCCTGACAGCTATCAACCCTCCAGCAGAACAGATTTAGCTCTGGAGGACTGTTTGGTAAAGCACAATTTACCAGCAGCAATTATATTGCTGTGTCCTGGCTCTTTGCTCCCCTCTTTCTTCTTTCCCTTGGGTGATTTCAAAAGATTTGCTTGAAATGCTAAATTTACCCTTCTTATTGTCTTGAGGCATCCTCGATTCTACATCTTACCTAAGAGAAGGTATGTTAATAAACTCCTATAAAGATTTTCAGAAGAAAGCAGGGCAGATTCTCAAACAGGCTTAATCTGGAGGATTAGAGTGAATGGGTAGGAGAGAAAAAAGAAACTCCTGCAGTGATGGCATTTCAATTTCTGTATCAGGAATTATTCACCATAGA